CATTAAAAATGCATAAAATAGTAAGCGATAGCAAGTAATTGCTTCAAGAAAGTTATATCAATGAAAAAAGAAAAAAAAAATAGGAAAGTGAAACAATGATGAGTTCAATGATGAATTTGTTGTTCCATAAAAAATTATTTATAAAAATTTTTTAAATTAAATATCTTTGCCACTTCTGGATAGACTTTAGACTTTTCTGTTGTATTAAAACAAGTTCAAAAAGTGTTCATTTTTTTTAGTGAAAACAAGGATTGCGGAAAACACAAATATTTGAATAATGGAATCAATGATGTGTGAAAATATTGGTTGAAAATAACTTAGAAATCTTGGAATTTGACCTCTTTTTTTTTTTTTTTTTTCATTTTTTAAGTATCAACAATAAACACATGCTTTTTTCAATTCCAACTTGTAAAAATTTTAATACTTAAAAACAAACAAAAAAGGTAAACAACACATACCTTATTTCGCCGGAAACTGTGTCTAAGGTAAAAATATTAGCTGAACGAGAGTCTTCTGGTGCTACCATAGCATAATACATTGATTCATTAGTGATATGAGTGGCATGTAATTTAATAATTAGTGAATTAACTGGTGTATCTTCCGGAATTTCAGTAATGTATCGCTCTTGTTGAAAGTGTATCCGTGGTACTGTTGGATTTCTTCTTCGCATCCATCGCTTTGGACGTCTTTTTCTAGCGTATTTTTTATGATCGAGAAAAACGGCACTTTTTCGGGATATATTATTACCAGAACAATCATATGAATATACCACATGCCATGGTTTTACGTAAAAGCATACACGTTCTTCAGCAAATAGCATACCGGATAAGGAATCTAGGGAAGCACTTGGTGAAGTTAGAAAATTTGGTCTATTGCATGTTACTGAATTAGACCAATGTAGCACTGGTTGACCAGGATGAATACATGGTGGATAATTGTACGGTAGCCATATGGTGCTATTTTCAATTGGTAACAAGCAACCAGCGGTACAACTATCAAGTACCGGAGGATTAAGATGAAATGTGATTGCATTGATTGGTAATAAAATGAAATAGATTATAACTGTCAATTTATGTTGTAATTGACAGAAATTCTTCATTGCTAAAGTAATTGCAAGTTTAGTTTTTCAAACTATTACATTGCTACATCAAATTTTAGCGAATCATTTGTATTGCACATTGTTGGTGAAATTACTGCAGAATGTGGGAATAAAACAATTTTAGTTGAGTAAAATTTGAAATATAATTAGTGAGTAAAATAAGTGACCGATTTTAACAGAGCACCAAACGGGACAATAAAATAATGAATATTGAAAAGGGAAAGAATGAAAGAGTGAGATGGGTAGAGTTCACTTTTGGGCGTGTCAGTAATGGTCGAGACTGGACCAAGCGGAAGTGAACCGAAATGATGCTTGACCAAAGAAAAGGTTCAGCCTCTTGTTATATCTCACTTTTCTATTATTACTATAAAGCAACCATCGATTATTACATAGATGAAAATAGGACTGTGAAGACGTAATATTGCTTCTAATATTCGGAATATAACGGTCACAATTACATTATCACAATTGATAATTCACCTGGATGTATTTCATTGAATTATCATTATTGAAACCAACGGATAGCATCGATCCTATAAGCAGAATGTCTCGACTAGAAGACAAATAAATTTCTCGATTGCACATTTTGCATTTTTACCTCTTCCATCGTCGCCATTTTTATGACTCACAAGAGATAATTAATGATTTCTTTGCTTGTTGAATGCTACAATTGAATGTAGTGGACAATGTATGAGAACAGAGATTATTTCAATAATTTACTATGAACTATGTCTGTTATGAAAATGATATTTGAGAAATTCGATGATGCATTCGGATAGTGTGTAGAATAAATTTTGGAAGATTAGTAATAGTTAGTTGTTTGACGATTAGTAGTAATAAATGCCCAAGCAATAGAAATTCATTAATTACAAGATTTAATCCATCATGCATATTATTATCATAACAAAAATTTTCTCATTATACATTTTAGTAGAAGGACTTTCATTACTACAACTTTGAATAAGTATAATAGTAAAATACGAAATTTAGATCTAGCTTGAATGAAACAGTTGGTTATTTTTTTTTTAAAAAAAAATTAAAATGATAGAAATTTGTTTCAACAACAAAAAAAAAAAAAAAATGGTTGATAATTCGATTAATGGATTATTGTTTGTGATTGAAATGCATTCATTGTATTTTTTATTTGATTTTTTTTTTTTTTTATTTAATAAAATTATTAAATTATAATGAAATAAAATAATGACACAGATGATGAGAAGCAACAAAAACCAATTTTCTTTTTACATTTTACAATCGGTTCATTTTCATTCATCTCTTAGAAGCTGTTCCAGTAAAATCCGTTTCCAAGACAACTCTCACCGTTGACTAGGATGTGTCATACCTTTCTTGAATTGAAATCGTTTGTTGACTGTAATCGATGTTGTTTTTTCCTGTCACTCCTCATTTTCCTGCCATATTCCATCAAAATTTAAAGCCTTCAAACGATAAATTAAAAAAAAAAAAAAGGAATGAAGTCATGCAAACCAATAAACTACTCTCAAAAATTCGAAGATAAATGAAAAAACCACGGGAATTTCTAAGACATATTTATTTATCATTTACTTATATATTATTAATTGATCATTGCTTGTCAAATTATTTTTTTAAACATTCATTTATATATTTGATTATTTATTTATTATTTATTCATTTATTGGTTTATTCATTTGTTTATTTAAAATTTACTTTTTACTTATTACCTCTATTTATGATTTATTATATTTATTTTACTTATTTATAATTACATTTATTTACAATTAATCATTAATTTATTGATTCATTTATTATTTACATATTATATATATATAATTTCGGCTTTTTACACATATTTGCTCATTTATTTAGTTTTTATCTATTTATTATTTATTTATCATTTTTTAATCATTTAGTTACTTATTTACTATTATTTATTAAGTCATTTATTTATTTATTTGCCACCCACCTATTTATTTATTTATTATTAAATTTTATTTTTTATTTATAAATAATAAATTAACAAGCAATTAAATAATAAGCCACAATTATTAAACATGTATTGTTTGATTAATTAATATGCATTATTTGTTTATTAAGTAACAAATAATTTTTTGCATGCTTACTTGTTTATTCATTCACTTGATTCAATTAATTAATTAACTTATTTATTTATTTTAATTTATTTGTTATGTATTTAATCTATGTAGCATATTTCATGTATCTTATATATTTATTCTTTCATTATTTATTTATTCGTTTACTTTATTTTTTTATCTTATTTATTTTGCAACATATTATTTATTTGTTTATTCATTTATCTCTTTTATTTAATTAATTTTATTTACTTGAGTTTCCAGAAAACTTATGATATCCTTTCATTCAGCAATAAGCTGGCGAAGAATTTAGAAGCATGAATCATACATTTGAATTCCGAGTGAAACGGTGCGGAAAATCGGAGTTATCACTCTTTTAAAAAAGGAAAAAAAGTGGAGTTACATACCGCATATATATTTTTGAGGTAATCTAGCTGATTTAAAATGTTGACAAATTAATCGGAACACAATCCGGAAATCATTTCCACCATTCCAAATTTAATAAACAATAAGCAAAATCTTAAATGAGAGTACATCAGCGTAGAACAACACCAGAAGAGATGGAATAAAGCGCTAATCAAGCTAAGCATTTGACAAACAATTTACGGTGAAGTGTTTTGACCATTCGTCCTATCACTATGAATTTGAACTGAACTATCAAATTAGTCCTATTGATGAATTTTCATTTGGAAAATTGCATCCTTACCCAAAAGCCTATCAAATTTGCACTAAGTACCAATCACGGGTATCCTCTTTTATAATATTGGTTTATACTTTATCACAAAAGATATGTATGTCCATTCTTACCTTAATGAAATAATTTTTTCATCTTGCATTTATAGCAGAGTAAATGAATGTCACCATATTACCAGAAAGCAATATTGTTCATATTTGAAATTTACCGATCCAATCATACTACTGCAACCATGCAAAATGTTGCGAAAAGAAAAAACAGAAATGAATGGAATCGATTTATCATCAAAAACTTTTCTTACAACACTTTGGAAATCTAGTAAAGATATATTTAAAAATGAATCCACGTAAGTTACGACCGAAAGAATTGATAAAAAAAAAAAAAAACTTTCTCTATGAACTGGAATGCAAAATTCTGTATGAAATTAAGATATCATTGTTAGTTTCAATTTAATTTTAAAAAGGCAATTTCAATTTCAAAGCATTCAGAAGTTCAACATTCGAAATGTACAAAATGAGATCTAAAAACGAAAGAAAGCAAATGATATTTATGTATACGTATGTATATATATATAAACGAGAGAATTCCACTCCATTTTTATGAAATGGAACTTTTTTTAAAGCAAATAGCTAAACGTAACTGAGGCAATAATTATTGAAATGGAAGACTTCCAATTTAACACAAATTTAATAGCAAAAACTGTGTACAGCAAAAGCAAGACATTACAAACACAGAATATATATGCATAAAAATGACATTTCCTTTTTTCTTTTCTTTCTTTAATTACAAAAGATACACACAGTTATCACAAAAGTGATATGAATACATAAAACAACAATAATAGCATCAAAGAAGTTATCAGTATAGTAAATAAGACATTTATTTTAAACATCATCAAACTAAAATCTAATCACTACAATGCGGCGCAGGTAAACAAGCTATTAGTGTCTGATTTTATCCAAAATGTCAAATAAGTGGATTTTGATAATTCATCCGGAATTCAGAGAAATTACTAGAATTTCCAAATGTTATCATAAACAATACACATATTGAGAGAGAAAATAAACGACATATATTACCCAAAATATTAATATAGCAACAAATAAAACAATTCGCAAAAAAAAAAAAAAAAAAGAAATCAGAAACCTTTTGGTCTCCTAACCAATAATCTAACATTAGGATATTGTTTGATGATTTGGATTGCATTGCTATGGGTCATACTACGTGTTGACTGTCCATTAATTTCCATCAGTTGATCGCCAACCTTTAAACGACCATCTAAAGCTGCCGGTCCATCTTCTGCAATTCGCAAGACGAACAATGGCATCGAGTCAAACTCCTGTCCACCTCGAATTGAAAAACCGAAACCTTTCGGTCCACGATTCAATTCTACATTTATAAGTGTTTGTTCCTGAAATAGAAATTTGAAATTTTTTTACTAAAAAAAAATAAAAAACGTTCAAGCAAATGACACAAATTGTTCAGGTGGTGGTAGCAGTTGGATTTAAAAAAAAAAAAAAAACATTATGTTTGTGTTGACATCTTTAAATACTTTAGCTTATATGTCAAGTTCTAAGTTCTCTTAAAAGCACACTCGAACGTCTCCACATTTATTTCATCAGAATATCCATCATTGTCGTGTCACTTCAAGTTTGACATAACCGTTTTAATTGACATTGAGAAAAATGTCCACAGTGTCAGCCAGTTTATCTTATTTTAGTCAATAACCTAGTGCTTCAAATGCTATACTGAACTAATTCTTCGGGAAAAAAAAGAAAAAAACAATATCAATAATAAAGTACAAGAAATTTTCAGGAACTGCGAACGATGAAAAATATCAGGGAAGTAACAAATCAAAAGCTTTGTAGAAATTCCGGTTGAGAAAACATAGTTTAAAAAGGAAGCATTTGACGAAGAATCTAAGGCAGATTCCAAGATTTCAATAAATTAAGAATGATTAAAGGAAAAGACTAATAATTCTTTCTTCATAAAGAACTCATCTGCGTGTATAAAAACGTATGTGTACATCAGTCATTCGTTATTCAAAAACTTTAAATTTTTCACTTCTGAATTTCTACTAGTTTAGTATTTAATGACATTTGAACCTTCGTATTTCATCAAAAATGTAGCGAATTACTAACAATGCTTCTTATAAAAGCATCAAAATATAGACTTGATTCTGCATTCCTTATAGTTTTAATATTTCTGTTACTTATGCCTTCTATTTATCCAGTATATTACAGTTGTAAGAAGAATGCATCAGCATGTCAATGTGTACAATGCATTACAGCTACAGGATGAGTGCAGAAGTAGTGCATGCAACACGAAATGCAACACGAAGAACACAATCACATACACCAACCGTAGGGATACGGATGACATTGCAGTGGGCGATGATGAGATGGTTATGGCGTCGTAATCGCTAAATTCAGAATACCGATCAATGCATGATATATTCCACAGATCTTGAAGTAATGACTCACAACTCGACTGCTACAACACCAAGCAAACTGTTAGAACTTTTGCTTTTCTTTTTTAATTTTTATAAAACAGGCCAGAAATAATCCACAATTAAACTACTTAACATGCGTATTTATAACGACAGCTATTGCCGTCATCCACACGAATGCAAACAATTGTTCCGGATATGAACACATATGCGAACAAAAAAGTAACGTGGAATCAAGTTTCTTACATTGATTATTCAACATTTCCGTAGTCTGTTTATCCCAAGGAAGACTATAGCATTTCAGATTATTTGGAACGCAAAAATAAGTAGGAAATTAATGTGACGAGAAATATCACAAAGTGATCTACTAGTCTGGACATGAAAAGTTAATGTTGTTATCAATTTCTTCCACCACAATAAGGTTAATTTTAGGTAGTCTATCAATTAAAATCTTTACAGTGAGCCCACGAAAAAATTCACAAATAATACCAACAGTAGCAATTTTTTATCAATTCATAACTTCATGGTTACAGCATACTCTTTTTTAGATCTTTTTACTTAGTTCTGATGAAATATTTTGAGAAATGAAAATCATAAGTGCCAAATTTCAGGCTACAAAGAGTCAATTCAATTGGCGCAGAAAAAAACAAGCAGTCGGTAATTGACAAAAAAAAAAAGTTAATAATCACTGAAGTAAAGGTAACAATTGTTAGTATGCGTAAAAGTTCGCGTCAGTTAAAAAATCAATTTTTGATAAAAAAGATACGAACAATGCAGAACCATATCATTAAAAAAAAAAAGGTACTAAAGAATATAAGAAATAATGTAGAAACAGCTTTTTTAAAAGAAACAGCTATCTTTCGACTCGATCTTAAATTAAATTAACAAAAGCAAAGAACAAATGAACGAACCATTTCTGGAGGTATCGGCGATATTCTGGTGATGTAACCGTTTCCAGCCGGATATCTGTACTGAGGAGCATCAAATGATTGATTAGGTGATGGACCAAGCTGATTTGTTTGACAGGAAGGATGGGAAGAATGTCCATAAATATTAATTGGTGCAATATGAGAAGTTGAATAATAGGATGTTGCAGAACCTTGAAAAAATAAATAAATGAAAGCAATGAAATAAAGGAAGGAAAAGATAAAAAGATAAAATAAAAGCAAAAAAAAATGATCTCTACATCTCGATTTCAGAATTTATTCCTAATAAAAACAAACATTTCTAGAAAGCATGAGTGATCACTTTAAATGGTACACTCAACCTATAATATATATAAAGTAACTTATGACTGAATTTGCCAAGGCAGGAAATGAGTAACGGATAAGGCTCTTGAAGGACACTTTCTGAAGACTGTTTACATCGCAAGTCTTCGAAAGAGACTCACGTCATTCATTAGTGCTTAAATAATAAAATGTTAGCGTGGTAACAATTCATACCTAGGGGACAGTTTGATGATGAAGGCAATATTGTCAGCCTTACTGATAAACCGGATTTTTTAATTAGCGTAACAATATCATTATGGGGTAACTTGGTAATGTCAATACCATTAACGGCTACTACTCGGTCGCCGATGTGCAACTGTCCACAAAGAGCTGCTGGTGAACCTTCCACTATCCTTCCTATAACTTTATAATAAATTAATAGCGACAATGCAAATGTTAATTAATGTGATTTTTCTTTTGCATTTCCAGCCAGTTTATTTATTTATTTAAGTCAACAATTACCACTTTTTTTCTTTCTTTCTTTTTTTTTTTTTTTTTTTTTTTTTTGACAACCAGTGTCAAATGCATTAATAAATTACATATTGTAAAGCAAACAAAAATAAATTCATTGTACCTTCTTTCATTACCAATTTTTACATTTTGAATCCAAAAAAAAAAAAAAGATAAACAAAATTAGACGAACCGATAGTACTTCCGTTGTTGTTGAAAGAAGATATGATAACAAAACCGAAACTGTCCCCATGATTTCGATTTAGTATAACATCATACATGGTATACATTGCATTCAACTGATTAACTGGAGCAGAGGTTGAACGTGATAAATCTAAAAAGCAAACAAAATTCAACATCCTGAACATCTGTACGGAAACTACTAAAACATAAAGATGTATATGCATTATGAAAAAGCACCATGAAAAATTGACCTCCAGTTTTAGGACGACGAACAACTAATTTGACATGTCCACTAGCAGCTGCTTTTTGCATTAGCTGTACAGCCATTGCATGACTTTCACCTTCAACATTCTTACCACTGATTTCAATAATTTCATCTCCTTGATGTAAGCGACCATCCTCTGCTGCAGCACCTCCAGGTACCACTTGACCAACTGTAATGCTTGTCCCTTCCTAAAATAATCCAGAATTAACGATAATAAATCAGTATTAAAGAAGTTTTCAATGAATAGTAACTTTTGAAAATTTACTTCAGTTCCACCGACGACCCGAAAACCAAATCCATTTGGCTTTCTGATTAGATTAACTGTCACCATTTCAACACTCGATTTTGCAAAAGCCGCCATTGGCATGTAGTTAGGTGTCGAGAATCCCAAACTTGTCGATGAAGGTCGAAGATTCGAAAAATTCTCATAAATATCGTCATTTGGACGCCGTTCATGCTGCTAAAATATGCAAAGCTTTTGCTTACTTTTATAGGAAGCATCAATGAGTACAGAACTTACTTAAGTAAACATCTCAGCTACTTATCTAAATATTTAAACTGCAGAAATCAAACATAGAAAATATTCCGACATGTATATTATACGTAACTAGCTAGTTGGAAACATAATAGAGAAGCTTTTAGTATAATACGACAAGAGGCTAAATGTAAAGTAATTCACCATTACCCTTGGAATAGTGTTTCCGGACCCATGGGCATTTACTATTGTACCGTTTGCGATGGCTAGGTTCTGACTAGTTGCAGGTTGTAGTACAGAAGTATGAGGATAGGTTTTAGTAGGTCGTGGAGGATGTGGTGCTGGAGTTTTCGACCGTGGTACCAATGTTGGAGCTGGACTAGGCCTATGCTCACCGTAACGAAATGCAGCTGACGGAGTACGTGATCTGAAAAATATATGAATACCAAATTATGATAATTAAACGACAGAAATGAAGAAAAAAATTGAAACTGATAAAAACATTTAAAAAGATAGCATAATTTTAGGTCCTTAAAATCCTATCAAGTTCTATGTTTAAAATTAAACGCTTTAGTGTAATTTCACCAGTCAACTGAAATATGAAGTATCTTTTAGCAAGATTTGTTTCGCTTTTTTTTTTTTCTCAATACAACAGTATCAACACAGCAATTTTTGCAATTAGCATGCAAATGATTTTTACCTGTGCTTCGGTGAATTTCGCCTTACAATCAGTTTGGCCCAGAATCCAACAGGACAATCCCTTAGAATAGAAACTAATTCATGATGTGGCATTCCTCGGAAATTAGTAACACGCTCCTCACCCACTGGACAGCTCGAATTTCCACGGGGATATGTGGTTCGCATCTCCAAAAGAGTATCACCTTCCAACAAATTCTCACATCTTTCCGGATATAAGATTTTTTTCACTCGTTGTCCCTGGATACTTTCGAAAATTGTGAATCCGAAACCATCACTACCCTAAAATAGAAAACTTTTCGAGAGAATTTTCTAGAATATTCGAAAATCAATTCTGGAAATGTCTACTTTTTGGATTCATATGCAATGATGAATATATAATTCATAAATAAATAAAAAAAAAATAAATAGATAACCTTATTGATAATAATTTCTTTGACGTCATCTGATCGTGTGACATATGCATTCTCAGTAACAATCTGAGGAAAAAAAAAGATTTGTTTACAGTTGAAAAGTTCATTAATTCATAAATTGCTGAGTGAAAAAATTCTCACTACAAAAATTTCATAATTTTAATCATAATCTTTAGCAATTTTATAATAAAAAGTGAAAGAAAGAGAAGGGAGAAGAAAAAAAAAAAAAAAAAAAAAAAAACCTTATTTGTAGGATCGAAAAGTAATGGATAACCACGGCAAATTTGTAATGTTACGAGTTCACCAACAGCAATTGACTGAAATATTAAACAAGCATGAGCTTGTGATGCGCCCAACACGCATTCACTGTTAACATATACGAGGACGTCACCCATCTGCAAGATACCGTCTCGATGAGCCGGTCCACCAGGAATAACATTTTTGATCTGAAAACAAAGACGGAAGAAATGAATATTTCTATTCATATTTTTATTTTTCCCAAGTGGAAAAATTATTGTAGTAAGTTAAAATTGTAATTATATCTATAAATTGTCTTTAAATTTGACGAAAAGATGGGTATTAATTTAGAAATTAGCAAAGCTAGAAACCTGCAAAAATTCATCCTGCAATGAACTACCGTCATTACCGATTAATGTAAAGCCAAGTCCTTTCGGTCCTTTAACAATACGTGTTGTTATAAGTTCACCACGAAGTTGAGATGGATCCCTTTGAAATCAATAAACATTTATTTTTATTTAAGTTTGAATCATTTTACCAAATCATAATTTAACATATAAATTTTGATATAACTTGATTAAATTAATTAATTCAATTCTACAACATTTGATGAAAAAAAATCATATTAGTGAATACCTTGTGAAACTATAAACAGATCCAGCAGTATGAGATGGTGATGAATGATTGCTGTAAAGAATTGAATGTCGCCTGGATCCTGTACCATCATTAGTTAGAAGAGTTTTTGTACTACTACTACTTGCATCATGATTATTAACATATGCATAGGAATGTGATGGAGGTACCACATCTGTCACCTTTTGTAATGATGAACTGGATGGACGTTCGTATTGAGTACGCTTGTTCACGTGACTAAAATAATTGCTACAAAATATGAATTCAATATTTATGGCAATAAATCCGTAATGAATTATTTATACCTACAATATCTAATTTACTATCTTTTGTGCATTTTTGCATGTCAATAGCAGTGATAACAGTTGGTGGGAAATGATTTTAGATATATCACTTCATCTAATATTACAATTATCTATAGGTAAGCAATTTAAGCAATTTAGAAATGCTGAATCTTACTTCCAACAGATTAGAGGATTCGGTTTAGAATAAAGAAAGGAATATCATCATTCCAAGTAAATATTAGAGACATATCACCTGTAGAAGATAATTTGATCAAACAAATTAGCCATAATATTCACACATATGTGACAGTGTTCCTCACAAAAAATCCAAAATATCTATCTTCCCATGCTGTTTATTGTAAAAATTTATGAAATTTCACACTCTGGTTGAGTGAATATACTTTATAGCATAAATTATGAGAAGTAATAGTTGTCATTAATAAAGAAAGAGAGATGAAGAAGACGATGGGAAACTTTTTTTTTAAAAAAAAAAGAAAAAAAAATAGAAGGCCTATAAAGTATGAACTTATTTTTCACTTTTTTTTTTCTTTGGTTAAAAAACATTCTTATAGCCTGAAGCATAAAGGATGAAGCATTGGGTATGCATGGATGGCACAAAGGCATTTCTTTCTTTCTTTCTTTTTTTTTTTGAAATCAATAAAATAAGGGGGATAGGACAGGAAGAGAAACGAATTTCAAATTTAACTGTTAATGAATAATCGATTAAAAGATAATTTTAATTGAAATTTTGCAGACAAATTTGTGAAATCAAGGTGTTAAAATCAACTTTTTTCCATTTTCTTTCTCTTCAGCCCGTAATAGATAACACATGATCACAAAATAAAACAAAAAAAAAGAGGGAAAAAGGTGAAGGATCTTGTAACGTATTGTCCTGTCGAGAAATGGATTATAAGAATGAAGGGTATGATCGGGAACGGAATCAGATAATACCAATTTTTCATATGACCAAATAAAACTAAATCACATCATGAAACTTGTATATTTTATTCTTGGTGAAATGAATGACGTGTACCACTTAGCGGCCATCAACAGATTAATGAACTTCTGTGAATTTTAACACTGAACATTAAATCTGCTGTCAGCTCTCAGTAAATTGTTAACAAAAAAGCTCTATTACCAAAAAAAAAAAAAAGAAAAATTTGGGTTGTGAATTTGAAATCCTACCAGAAAATTTGATGATAACAACTGTAATGTCCCCTCGGGTTTCAGTGAAAGTTATGAAATAAAAGATAAGTAAATTTTAATATATCCAACAAATTGTTGAAACTACATGGGGTATAGTTAATATAAACTTCCATCTTGATCATCCTTTGCATAATAATAAAATTTATCACAATATATTGACACTAAACAACAAATAATTTGATAACTTACTCAACATAAAATGTCCCATAAATGCCATCATTCACTTTTTCCCAACCATCGGGTAAATCCCTCGGATCTTCCCACTGTGTTGTGCCAGTGTTGTGACTAAAAAGTAATCTAGTATCCACACAAATTTTTGTGACAATTCCTTGTAAATAGGTAAACAAGCAAAACCAATGGAATGATATCGCTTGAGCTCAGATATAACAAAATTATGGGATATCAATTGATAAAAAAAAAAAAAACCACTGTTGAGTTTAAATTTTGGAAATTATAACAAATAGCTTACTCAACAAAGTATTTTTCGCCTTGATCAGAGTATGCAATCTCCCAGTTGGGAGGTAACGGTCCCTTTGCATCGCTTACCATTTCATCATCCTCTAATGGTTTTGGTGTTCCGTAATAATGTCCTTTAAAGGTAGAAAATTAAATTCAAATTCAAAGAAACAAAAAAAAAACACTGAATTGAATGCCGAAAACATTGGTCACTAAAAACAATTCCTACTGTTTCAAACGTAAAAGATGTCAATGAAATCGTTTTATGGGAAAATAAAAGCAAAATGAGAAATGAAAATGGACCAACAATTGTGACAAAAGGTAAGGAATGGAATGTTTGCAAAGTATGTAAATAATATGAAGAGATAAAATTAGAAGTATTGGGAAGTACTGAATAAATTTATCCAAAAAAAAAAAAGTATGAATTGAGAAAATGGAAATATAAATTGAAATCTAATTTAAATAACAAAGAGCTGAAAGCCATTAAACATTTCAATAGTTATAAATGCAATGGGTTCAAACAGATGGATGTAAAGTACAGATGAGAAAAAGACAGATATTTCTGCAAACATCACTGTATTTGCATAGAAAAAGAAAGAAAAAAAAAGACGAATGTTAATGAGTAAGTAACAAAAAAAAGAAAAAACGGAAATTAAAAAGCAAAGGAGAGAAAAAGTAAGTCAAAATAAATTATTAAGTTTAATGGGAAAATCAATCCTGAAATTAATAAAACAAAAAAGTGGGAAGAAAAGAGGAGAAATTTCAATGAAATTTGTCGTCCAAACAAATTTGATACTTAATAAACCAGCTAAAAGATACATATTTCTCATTTTTAATTTAAATTATACACAAGAAAAAAAAAAAAAAAAAAAAAAGAAGGAAGCAAAAAGAAGATTGAAACGAGTTTCGACAAAATGTCGCAGCTTTCAATCATAACTTCATCCTTCCTTTTTTCCTTCTCTCTCGAAATACATATACTACTAAATCCATCAATAACTTAATCCTCCTATCTAAAAATAAAACCATATTGTGACGATTAATTCTGAATAAGAGAAAGTTATCAAAAACCGAAATGATCGATGGAAATAATTAAGTACTATGAAAATTAAAATTATGCTATCCATTAAGCTTCGTATTTACTGCATTCCATATGTTTTCTGACATTAAATTTCATAAGAAATGGGGCAATATTTAAAATATTGAAAAAAAAAAAAAAAATGCAGCAGAATTTATGAGACTGAAATGAAATAAAGATAAACAATTAGTTTAAAAAAAAATAATATGTTAAAACTTGAAATAACAAATTTTTTATATTAAATTGCTAATTTTTGAAAATTTTTGTATGAAATTTACTGAAAGCTAACAACTAACTAAGCTGAATAGACGACAGTAATGTAATGGAAAGTTTGCTGAAGGGTTAGAAATGATAAGGATATAATCATAAGAGGCGAAACACATCAACACGATAGTGATAAATATTGCTTATCAGTAAGGAACCATCATCACACTGCTATGTTTAATGAAGGTAGAAACGTTTGCTGTGTATATCAACAAATGAATATGTATCGTTTTCCAAATAAAATGAACAAATTGAGGCCAAAAGTTAGGAAGATGATCAAATAGAAGGATGGTTCGAGGCCGAACAAGGAGGAAAAAGGAGGAAGGACATGATAAAATCAAACATACCACACTACTACAACGACAAACAAACAGTGTCCTTCTTCAATTTCACATAACACAAATATTAGAAATGGAAATTTAAACGGTGCAAAGTATTGCAAGGTTAGTGATAATTTACAATCCATTCTTGTAAATGTATAAAAATTAGGCAAAAAAAAAAAGTCAATTTCTCCTATAATTAACTAATTTAATCCTAAAAAGAAGGAAAAAAAATGGTAATTATGTAATATTTGCAAGATAATCCACGAAAATACCGATAATAGACATTAACGATCATAGATAATTAAACTTTAGTTTTAATGAAGCGATTAGGATGCTAGTAACTTAACTATTTCCTGTAATATAATTTATCAAACAGGTTTTTGACAGTATGAATCTATTATTAACGAATCCAAAATATCCTAAAGATATCGCTCGATGAGGTAACAGGACCGGAAAATATCAAATTCTGTTTGGACGTATTTAAGCGTGAATATATATAGTTAAAGTAAAAAAAGGGATGGTTCGGGCATATACTGACAATAAATTATAAGTGACTGACTGTAATAATTAACAAAAGAAGTTTTCGTAATTAGGAAATCAGATGCAGAAAAACTGAGGAGACAATTATATTAAAACAATACTCATTCGAGAATTCTGGACAATGAAAATTTTTATGTTAGTGTATTGAAGCATTTATGGAATGCAATGGATTAATTAGCAAAATTAACCCGGGAATGATGTTTTGAAATGTTAGGTTAGTCCTTAAAGAAAAGAATTTCAAATATTTTCTTATCCAATCTATTTCTGAATAAAAAAAAAATATATATATTTAATGAATTCAAGTTATAGACATGAGTGATACAACCGCCACAGAAATTCGTAGAATTCAATAGTGAAATGTTGATTGCAGCTAACAAAAAGAAATAAAAATTTTATGATAAATTTTCAACGAAAAAGCACATCGGAAAGTTAAGCAAACAGATTTGAAGATCGATGTGCAAAATGAAACTATTTTGAATAATGAATGTGTTCAGTTAGTGGTTAGGTATTTTAGTGACAAATGTGATGACAATCTCGTGGATCAATTGAAATAAATTTTAAGCAAACACAAATTTCAGTACTTAAAAAGAGAAACAGAAGAATGAAACGATTATAAGGAAAGTATCAACAATTTGCAGACCACTGCCCATTAGTAAACATTGGAACATAATCAACAATTTTGCAACAAAATATATCGGAAATCATTTTAAATTTAATGCTTAATTTTTAAATATTATTTTTTATAAAATTTACATCCATATCTTTTTTCAGTCAAGACGTACAAACAATTTCATTCATCAGAGCTTAGGGATATTTCAATATACAAATGAAAAAAAACAACAAAATAGATTCCATATTTCTTTCTAGAAATACTATATGAAAAAAGCAAATCAAATCTCGAGAGAAATATCTGCAAGAAATATTGCATTCAAACAGCTAATAGAATTTCAAATGACCAACGGAAATATCTCTATTTGATGCATTTAAGTTTCCGATTATTTGTTTGTTTATCATTCAATGATTACTACTCGCCTTTTGCTCTTTTCATTTTTGCTGTATGTATGGCTAAAACATTTTAATGAAGCTATTATAAATTGAATTGCTTAAGTCATTGTTGTTAAAAAAAAAAAAAAAAGAAAATATAGTTTGATGCTTTCTTCGGTTCACGTCTGATATTTGACGTGCGAATAGTAAGTGATAGCTGTAATTTTTTTTTACGTTATTCTTGCGTAAAATGAATTTTCCTTTTCCAATAAATTCCTACGCGGTTTCTTGGTTATTGCATGAAAAAACGGGAAAGCCCCATGGGAAATTAATACACAATGTTAAAGAAAAAAAAAAACAAAGTGATAATTTTGAGCAAAGCAAAAAGTGCGGTTGTCCATTGCGACAGTTAAAAAATGTCGCAGCATGAGCGCATGACGGAGTTGTCATCTCATTTTAACTTTTTTTTTTCTTCAATTTCTTAGAAAATTTCCCATTCCAATAAAAGAATCACAGAAGGAAATGACGAATTCTGGTACAACAATGAACAGTAAAAGCATCCAAGCAATGATATGAAAAGAACACTCAATCAATCAATACACATTAATTATGTCACAAGTTTAAGGTAATATGGTTAAGCAAGCTTTCGGTAAACAAATTCAGATAAAAGGAATGAAGAGTTTGTTCCATCTCGACCTGTCAGCAATACACACACACACACACACACACACACACACACACATACATATGTTTATGTATAAATATATACACGCTACAGCAACGCGAAGGTCAATCGCCTATCACCTCTACCTGTTATAGTCTTTGCACCGAAAGGTAATAAACATACGTACATACATACATACATAGGTAATGTACATACACACACACACACACATACATATATACATACACACATACAGTAAAAGAAAACACACATATACACAGTATATCCGTGGAGCGAAACAAGGTGTAACACAGGTATCGGTATAAATACTTCAGCACGACGATACACGAACATACAGAAACAACTGAATATATACACATACACAAATACACATGCAAACACACATACAAATATACACATACATAAGGAAACGAAAACTAGATAGAAAGGCAGGTACTTGGGAAGAAACGCTCGAAAGGAACCGTCTATCGAAGTGATCTAACTGAAACGATTGTAATGTGAAAGGAAATGAACAAATAAATTGTGCGATATATATAGCAAGTTTCCTAACAGCAAGAAAAATTACAACGACGGCAATGTATCATACCGTCGCAGCTGTCGCGTAGTAACTAAGGTCAACAGCCATCGTTAGCTTCGTCTATTCAAAGGCATATCCGCTCCAAGTTTGCATCGGATGGAACAGATCTGAGTAGAATTTTGGCGAAAGAAGCACCTACACACCAAAAGAAGTAACTGATAGATGGTTATTTTAGTTACGGAACAATCATCAATTACTCATACCCCTCGAAACTTCTGCACTTATGTCTCAGAAAACAACCGCGGACAATTGTGTGGTATGAAGTAGATGTAGACTGAATTCCGAGGACCCATGTCGCACCTTTTGCAGACAGATTTGTCATCACTGAAGGTCGAAATTGTCTAGCTAAGTGATCTCTATTACTGACTAAAGATCATTGTTGCGTGTTCAATCAAGCTCAAACAATTATAAGCTTGTCATACCTAGATTATATAGATATTTGATATTGATGGAAAAGTAAACTTTTGTAACTATGTAGTAATTTTGTCGCCAAATGTTGCTTGCAGACCCATTTTCATCGTTTGAGACACTAACTGCTTGCTTTAGATTTCAACCTTTTACATTATAGAAATATTCTAAACACATTGAAAGACTTCAAAGAGATGTGCCGCTGAATGCGCTTTTAACAAACAAATTTTCATGTCAAAGAAAACTTCATCTTGCCGCTATCATCTTTTAGCTTTTTCACAATCCTAACCAATTTTCAAAGTCGCTCTCAAATCTTACAAATGATGAATTCGATGCAGTATAGCATTTTTATTATGAGTGCATTTGTCGTGTCAACTTTTTAACGTAATCTGTCAATGAATGGTTCAAAAGGTAGCAATCTTTGCTTTCTTCCAAACCAAAACTTTACAACAAAAATATGAATTTTTATTATAATCAGTGAAGGATAAGATCCTCTATACTTCACTGCTTATAATGAAGTGACAAAGGACCTTTACAAGAAAAGCATATCCACAAAACAGTATCTACCGGTACCTATCGTACAACCATATAGAATACGGAGTACGGTATGTGGTATTTGATTATCATTTTCATGAGTGATCGTCATTATGCTCACAGTTTAAACTAGTAAAGCAGTCTAGACGATTCTCTGCTATTCCACATTTACTACATATAACAATTTTGTATCATTTGAAAAATTTCCATAAATAACCTTTAGATGAAAAGACGAAATGAAATGAAAGGAAATTGTTTAAGAAACTGATCCTTGGCTATAGCCTAGCGTTCCGATACAATATCGACGTGAAATGAGCAGCACTAAATGCTTAATAAATTTGAAAAATGTCCTCATATTGCTATTTAATTTAAATGCTATGAATGTACAAATGAAAATTCATTTACTTCGTGAAATAAACATGTCGTCCGACTTGTTGTTATAGGAATGAAAAAATTAGCCTTTAAAATCTCCAAAGTTAACGTTAGATCGATGTAAAATGTTTCAGTCATTTAATAGCTTATATCGAAGGAATTTACTTTATAAATTCAGTTAATCTCTCTCTCTCCCTCTCTCTCTCTCTCTCTATTTCTCTCCCTCTCATAACTTTCATACCACTTATTTATCACTTAATACACAATTTTCTCCTTCTTTCCATCTGTTTCCTCGGGGAAATTTCAGGATGAACGTCTTGCTTAAATTAAAATTAGTAATTCATTTTGACTTAACCTAATTTAATCTTATTTATTCCGACTCATTTCCTAATTTGATGTTCACCCCAAAGTGCAACAACTTCCATTTAGGACAATCATATAATTATGTATTTGTTACAATACATTGATATCTTCAAATGCAACTTATTATCTAACATACATCAAACTCTTTCCGAAATAAGCTGAAAATAAAATAAGACAAAGAATATTGTGTCATTTCCTAACGAATGTCTTCCTTCTCTTTCTCGCATACATTTTCAAATGAGAACAAAAATTCTAAATCAACTACATGTGATAATCTCTGAATAACATTTCCGGAAATGCATATAAAGATATTACTTTTGATTGAGTTAGAAGACATGTGACTTATGTTTTCCCATAATTACATGCAAATATTACACATCAAGATAACCTCTAAGTCAACAAAATTGCTTATTACAACTTTTCACAAATTAATTCAAATGAATGCAAAAAATAAAATCAATGAAATTACAGTTAATTTAATAATATCAGCAAAATAAAACACTGTAAAATTCCTAATTGTTTTTTTTTTTTTTTTTTTTTTACTATAAATTTATTTATAAAAGTAATTTGATGTATAACAGATAGATAATCTAATTCTAGAATACCTATCTAAGATTCAAGAATGTTACTTCCGAAACTATGAAAAGAAAATAAAGAGAATATCAGTGAATGCAGTAATGATGAAGTGAGCTGAAATCGAAAAAGCACTTCTTCAAGGTACAATTGATTATTTGATGGTAGAGTGAAATTAAATAAAAATTTTTATAGCATAATTTTTTTCAAGGAATGCTGTCGGCATTCCTTCTAACATCCACCATAAATCGTATTCGAATCAAGAAAAAAAAGAGAAAAACCCTTTAGCTGTTGCCAACAAGAAGATTTCAGCAATGCATTCATCTCCTGTTTAATGACAGATGGGCGACACGCAAAAAGATGTAATGGATCAGGTGGTGACAGATCAGAAATTGTATAACTAAGGAAGATTGGGCATTAAATATGAAAAAATAAAAAGTGTATGTAAGACAGATCTAAAAAATAGGATTTGAAAATTTCATCAAAATAAGGAAACCTTGATAACGACCATGCTCCAATAACTGATTGCTATCACGTAACTGCCGAAAAGTTGCAACATCGACAAATTTGTAATGTACACCATCAATTTCACCATTTCGTGGTTGCCTTGTGGTATCTAAAATTATAAATCAGTGAATATTTTGTTTTATCAAATGAAGATTATTCATTCAGATTGTTTACTTCTCTTTGATAATTTTCAAATTTCTTATTTACACAAACTAGCTAAAGCTAAATGATATTATTAAGCATAAATGCTAACATGGCACTGTTTTCTGATAAACGTTATTTCGGATGACAATTTGCAGTTCCGAATAGTCTTCGCTAGCTAGAATTTCTGCTATACTGGATGGAATTGAATCTATAATTTAATTTTTAGTTACAATTATTATGAAAATCCCTTATCAATATTTTTCTTATTAATTTTAACTAAAATTTATTATTAATTTTAAATTTCTATTTGACAGGGGAATGATTAAATTTGTAACAATTGTGCATTGCTTACCACTGCACCTGATAGGAAAGACTATCTTTTTATAGCAGAACTTACTTTCACTTACAATCTCCATGTAAAATGATTCATTTATGGCAAATAAACCTTCCAGCAACTTTCGTACATCTCGTAATAACATTCCCGATACTTTCCTAAATATTAAATCGATTAAAAATTATATGTATTGGTGCTAATTAGTGAATAAATAACATGAAATGAAGCAACAAAATAATGATAGAAGAAATTTTTAACCTTCCATTGATAGATAAAATGATATCATTAATTGCTAAAACATTCAACAGATCCGGATAAAGCACTAATTCCACTAGTATCAGACGACCTTCTGAAGATCCACCTTGTATAGTAAACGGAACCAATGGCGGTTGGCATAAAATCTATAACAAATATGGAAATGAGCAAATGCATTATTTATGCTTGCATAACAAAAAAAAAAAAAAGGAAATGTATTCATGTTTTATAACCAACTGATTCAAAAAAAAAAATTAACCATTCCGATAATAACATATAATGTTTCTCTGGCATATTTGTCATCTTTTTTGATTAAAAAAAAAAAAGAGTAAACAGAGAGGGAAATGAACAAGAAAGCTCAGGATGCTCTGAAAATGGCATCTACCAATCACTTTTACGGAATGACAAGAAACTGTGAGATGACCGAACTAATAAATTAACTCTAATTTGATATTGTATTTCTAATATAATATCAGGAATAGACAAAAATCACTGATACATTAAAAAAAAAAAAAAAAAAACATAATTGTAGCAAAAAAGTTTAAATTTAGCTCATCACAAACAACTCCGAGTAAGTAGATTTTGTATATTAATAAACTTATAAAAAAAAAAAAAGCTGAAATAAGCAATAAATTGTGCTTGTTTAATCTGACCCGTACAGTCCTGGTCATCGTTTCCAGAAAGTTGCATTTTTTATCAGCGTCGTCTGATTCTGATGTATGAGATGTTTTCTGGGTGGTATTGATCGAACTTAGCTTTTTTTCTAGTGTAACTAAATCAATTTTTCCTCGATCTTCGCTTGTTTGTTTATTGATCATTGCTTTTCTCGATGACATCGTTTCAAACTGCCCCCAATATCACATATGCAACAAAACAAAGGTCAAATTTTACGTAGCAGTTTCACGATAGCAGGATATCATCGATGCATCCTGAAAAGTAATTCTGTTCACGTATTACGCAACATATTAAACCATTTGGTGACGCAAATATGTTGAGTTTCTAAAATTTAACATTTCAGAAGGCTACAGTGTTCATCCTAAGAAATCAATTTCGAATTCACTCAACGCAGTGAACGTTACAGATCCAAAAATTTTTTTTTCAAATGTAATTTAAACTAAAAAAGATGCAATTTTAAAATCAGAAAGGTTTAATTAATTCAGACGAATGAATATCCATTCTAGCACTTTTCCAGTGAAATAAACCTGATTGGAGGCTTCCACAAACTCATTTTAATTACTAAATACACATCGTAGGTGAGATTTTTTTTTAAAAGAAAAACTGAAAAATGAAACTTGAGTTTTTAATGGAACTGAAAGCAACAAGCAAATAAAACTGAGAAATCGCCCTTAAGTTGAATATGTGCATGAGCAAATAAATAAATTAGTAAATTCCAGTTTTGAAAATATTTCATCTATTAAACTTGATTATTTTATTTCTGAAGGAAGAACGTGAGAAAATACGAAGGTGAGGAAAGATTGTATTAAAGATAATAAGGCATAGTAAAAGCAAAAAGGAACGAGTAATTACAATTCCGCAAAAAAGAAAAAAAAAGTTTTCGAATTTTCGAAATGAGAAGACGAAATTGCGATTCCACGGCAAAAAAAAGGTGAGCTTTAAAGAAGATTAAGTAAATAACAATGAATACATACATTTCTTCTTATATCATTCATTTCATTTTATTTATGTATTATTCAGCAGTGAAAGAAACTGGAAAGCAATCAAATGAAAATAATTGATTGCCGACAACTAATTTTTGTTTTTGATAAATTGATAAGCCATATTTCATTCTTTTAAATACTTGCCCAACGAAAATTCCATCTAATTTACAATTTTAGATAGTGAAAGTAACTTTTTAAAATGAACAAATAATAAAAGTTAAAAAGAACAAATCGGAAATTACGAAAGAAAAATGAAGACAAATTATCCTAAAAATGCGATAGAATAGATTTGCAGGAAAAGTGAGGATAATTTCATCACATTATAATTTTAAAATGAAAAAAGAAAAAAAAAAAATGTTTGCTGTGATAATTCGATGCCAACTAAACAGCTGTCAATCATTTTTTAATCAGTTGAATTTCTCGCTGTTGCCAAACATTACATATTTTTATGAAAAGTTTCCAATTTTCAATTAAAATCTATTTCTTCGTTAGAAATAAATCAGAAATGAAATTGTAATTGCAATAAAGGAAAAGCTATTGCGCAAAAAAAAAAAAAATTTGTAATTTAAATAAAAATAAACTTTAGAAAATAAATGAATTACACAATAAACAACAAACACAAAACATTTTCATCTATTCCATTAAATCTACTGGAAAAATTAGTGGAAGAAAAGGGAAAAGCAAAGAAAATAAGAAATGGAAAAAAGCTAAAGCTATTGCTATAAATCCCTAAAAGTTCTCAATTTTTTTCTCCAATTTCTGTAAATTATATTTGAAGAGGGTGGAAAATTTTACACATTAAATGAGAGTGTGAAGAGAATTGGAAAAAGCAAAATTTGGTCTATAGCACATGAACCAGTGCCATAAATGATTTCAAATTTGATAAAATTTAAAAATGAATCGATTATCAAAGCGAATAAATTCCCGAAAAAAAGTTAATTCGAATTTTAAATTTCAAGAAATAGCGCCACTTGTTTGATGATAAAGCATAATATTGATAAATGAGTACTGAGGAGGGAAGAGGACAGGGGACAAATTGGAAACACCGTAATGTATGTATATATGTATGTATGTGTATATGTGTGTGTGTGTGTGTATGTGTGTGTGTGTGTGTGTGTGTGTGTGTGTGTGTGTGTGTGTGTGTGTGTGTGTGTGTGTGTGTGTGTATGTGTATGTGTGTGTATGTGTTCATCAATTCCAAACTAATTTTTCACTTCTGCAACAGCGCCACTGCCAAATGACACGACCAGAAGGGAAGATGCCACTTCTCCGACGCACTGTTATTTCTTCAATACGCTATAAAACATCGGCCATTTACTACTTTTCACAATTAAATTCAATTTATTAACTAATTTTCACTACTCCTAATGTCATCCATTATCAGATTCATATTCCGGAAATGTGCAATAATAAATGAAGCATCAGGAAATAAATTATTTTCTAGCTTTTCATTTCTGATTCAAAAAATTTAATTTACAGATTTAGAAATCACTTTGAGAACTAATGAGATGAGCGAGAAGAAGAAAATGAATGTGATCACTGTCAAAGCTATTATAGCTCTAATAAATAATACCATGTTTACCTAACCAAAGTTACTTTTCATTTTAAAATCTTAGCTTAATATCAGACATCTAGCATCTCACCTACGTTCTTCTGTTTTTATCTTCTCGAATAGCTGATAAAGAAAGAATAAATGATTGGAAATTCTTGGGCTGAACTGCCTGATTAATTCAAATTTAGCCATCAGTTATCACAACATAGTCCAGAAAACTAACTATCTTATGTTCCAGTTTAGAAGATAAATTAGCTCAAAAATATCACTGACAGAAATGCAACATAACAAGAAGTACTACCATCTGGCAATCTGTTATCTATTCGAATAATAAAATATGCAACGGAAAAGGTCAAAGGAGGTAGCTGGGTTAGGCAAAAAAAAACGGGCAATAAATCTATTATGCAACTTTGTCTCTTTTACGCTTCCAGAATGCCCAGTCAAGAGTACTGCTTCGTCGAACACATACACAAATTAGTCAAAAGATGATATTTTCAGGGTAACTCTGATAAAAAAAAAAATTGGTAAATGATTTTAATACGAAATCTACAGAATAAAGGGATACAGAAATATTACAACTGTATAATCTTCGGATAATTAGACCATATCATTTTCCCACATTTTATCGTTTTCTTTACTGGTCATAAGTACATCAAATTTTTTTCTTTAAGTTAATGGGTGCTATTTGAGAATTATTTTGTGAAGTTACAAACAATAACAAAGTAATAAGCAGATAAATTGCTGAGTGTAAGGTCAAAGTGTAATTATGTAAAAATTATGTGACTTTGTTTGTTTGGCAAAAACTATAAATAAAGTGATGTCACTGATCATTGAAAGATGTATTGTATTTTAAAAAAAGCCGGAAATGGTGTGTAAGAACAGGAAATAGTAACGATTTTAAGATAAATGTGCATATCAAAAGTATCCCAGTATAATCATTGAAAATCGAATTATTTCTATCAAGATTGAATATTCTTTCTTTTAGCTCCTCTATTTATGGAAATTTACAGTTCACTCGAAAATTGTTGAAATATATGAATAAAAAAGATGAGTCAATCGCTTGTTTACAATTCTACAGCATTAATCCTTTGCCATCTATGTTTGTTCCACAGTCTTTTATAAAATTGCTCATTTGAAATGAATATTTTACACTCCAGAAAATTCGACGATTCTATTTTGTTATAAGTTTCACTTTATATCATACTAAAAAAAAAAAAAGACAATGTGATCAGTTAAGATTTCGTATAGTCATATTTTTTTTAATTCAGTTTGTTAAATTAAAATGCATAAATGAAAAATGCGAAACTTCCTTTTTTTTTTTCGGAATAATTTCTAGCTTTGTAATATTTTCTTGAAAAGACAATCGGAAAAGTCATGAATACCCATCTTATGACTTCATTAGAAACAAGAATGTTAACAGTAATTTTCAATGAATGATATGATTTAGATGTATTAAGCAGAAATGAAACAATAAAATTAGAAATGGAAAAAAAAAAAAAAAAGGAAAAAAAAGGACGAAAAAAAGACAAACAAAATAAGTTAATTGAATGCAAATTGAAAATATAAAATGAAAGTAATTTAATTGCACTCCAAGAAAACTATGAAAAAAATGTAAATTTAACATAACTGTAACAAAAAAAAAAAAAAAAAAATAGAAGGAACGATTATTTAAATTTGTTGAAAATCTTGAAATCAAAAAGGAGTAGAACAAACATTACATTAGTAATATGTACGAGGAAAGAAGGATCGATAATGGCCGTAGTGTGACCGAAGAGACCATCTTATGATTGAAATTCGGTAACTTCCAAACAACATTTGCATCTGATGGGAACAAGGAAGCAATATAAACCGACGACTGTGCTCACTTCTTCTCTCCTTCAAATTTTCAAATTGCTGAATGGACACTAATAATGACGCGTAACTTCTGCCAATCGCATACGATGTACTCCCATCCCGGATTTATCCATTTCAAACAAGAAGAAAGGAAACAGAGGCGATATTCGACGGATATTTCAATAGCAATTACGCAGATTAGCGAAGTAAAGTGTTACTCTAAAGTACCGTGAATTCTCGAGAATTGACGATATATATATGCTCATCAAAAATGACGCCAATCTGAAATTTTGAAAAGGATTACAATTAAATATCAGAAATCGACAAGAATCGAAATTATAACGAATTCACTTGACCAATGATCAAGTTAATAAAGGCAAATCATCTACAGGATGAGATTTGATGGTATTCTAGTTACGCAATACTCTTGGAAATAAGATAGGAACCAAAAGAAACATTAGCCATATGTTAATTGCATCAGGTAGTCAAACTAAATAACTGACTGATCAGGACGGAATGGAGAAGAGATAATTTGCATGATTTCCGGAAGGCTACAAATACTTAAATCATAATTTAGCATTGGTGACGAATAGATTTCAATATTATTGATAATCACAGATAAGGGGAGAATTTAAAAAACAACAATTACAAGGTCATAATTTGAAAGAGAATTCAAGTGTGGTCAAGAAGAAAAAAACAACTGTAAAGGGGTAGCTTCATTTACTACTACCATTTCATAAATCATTCCATAAATGAATGCAATATGTGTCACATGCTGTCACAAATTTAATTTTCTTAACTAAAGTAGAAAATTGATTTTTTTTTTTAGCATTCATTTTTCATTTCGTTTTTTTTCTCCTTTTTTTTTTCCTCTTTTTTTTGCTAAATTTAAAATTACATCAGGATAACTGTTCACTTGTCAACTAAACATTTCCTTTATAAATTATGGAAGGAGAGAAAGTTTGCAATAATAAATGAGTCTTCTTCAGCCATAATAAATGATAAATGCACTAGCAGAAAGCAAATAATTAATTAATTGGTATTTTGTTGATGGTTTCATTAAATGTGCCACAAAGGAGAGAGTAGCAAATAATAGCTAAATGGAATGAAATTTGAAAGAGATGTGGTAACAGTATTAGCGACCCGTGGTAATGCTGTAGAGATGGATAAGGAAGAGAGGTTGAAGAGGTAGGAAGGAAGGATTAGGTAGGGGAAGCAAAGATAGATTGGTGCGCATTTATTGCGCTTCGGGGTGGGAAATGCAGAAAGAAGATTGCAACCGGGTCAAAAGTCAAACAATAGCCGTGCTGCAATTGCTACTACATTCCGAAATATTTACATATGAAGCAGGGGCAGATAGATATAGCGCCAATCTTTTTGCAATAGCAAATTTGATAATAAACAATAATTGATGTGTTTCATCGAAATAATAATAATCTTTTGTTTTTGTTTTTATTTCGAGTATTTTAATTTTAACTTAAACTTTTACACTACTTATTATTATCCAACGAAACATACATTATTGCAATTTAAGAATGCCTATTGTAATTTCTGTAATTTAGCGAATGATGTGGTTTGATTGAATATAAAGGATAAAATGGAGATTATATTATGGTGGTCTAATCGGAATTTGAATCGATCAAAGGGAAAACGGATAGATAGATTGATGGGACAGATAAAAGTATCGAAAGGAAGGTTTAACTTTAAATTATTAACATTAAATAGAAGAAAGGAAATGGGAAAAAGAGAGAGGGAAAAAGAAAGAAAGAAGAGAGAGAGAGAGAAATAGGAGACATGAAATTTTCCCGATGAAATCACTAAATCTACATAACATTTACAACTTACATCATTTCATTGGTGAAATACAAATTATCATTTTTCTTTGTAAAATTTCATTCATTTCAGTAAGGCAAATTAGGCTGTTTCTATTCTCACATTGTTATGCCAAAAATAATTGATAAAAATGACCTTTTTTTATCTCTCATTCGAGCATTGTCAACTATGTTAATGTAATCTAAAGAAGTATTTTCTGAATTAGTGACCGAAGGATGGTTCCATTCAAATTGACCAATCTAAAAGTGACCAGGGATTATAATCAGAAAATGATATGCAAGGCCAATGAGATTTACCACTGATTTTTTTTTTGTTTTTTTGAGCTTTGCATACAAGCATTTTCTTAAATGAATACTTATCATTATTGGTTAAAAATTGCTATGGAAACTTATCAGTAACTCCAATATTATTACCATCAAATAACTGTGAAGTGATAAAATCAAATAATCTGCAAGTACTGTTAAACATTTGATAGAAGAATATATTGCAAGCCAAGTTACTTAAGTCTGATATGTAGTTTGAGTACATTATGTTATTATCAGTTGGTAAGATGGTCAGTGAAGATCGAGAATTAGGAAATTTGAGAAGATAAGGAATTAAATCTTTCAATCAAATGGTTGAATTATGTTGGCTGATGGAAGTAAAATCTGATAATGAGAGGACATTATCGCTATCAAATAAATTTCATATTTTAACATTTATCAGGATTGATGGGTGCACCTGTTCATTAACCGTTCTAGAATAAGATGAAGAAGATGGAAGAATCTTTAAATGACAATATTTAATTGTTTCTTTCTCTTTCTCTATCAGGAATGTTTACAATTGAACTGCTGATAGCCAAAAGTTGTTATCATAGCAATTTTATCATCCACGAAAATTCATTCCATTAATGACAATGGAAGTTAGTTTTTCCGTCTTATCCGCTTCAAATCATCATATCAATGGAATAATTTAAATTTGATAACACATCAAAGAAATGGATCAGCTAGAGTTTATAAACGACAGTTGAACTGGTTTTATTTTTAACTTCAGGAATAATTACACCCGCTAACAATATTAGCTAGGCATATTGAAGGATTGAAAAGTGAAGATTGATATATGTTTAAGACATTTCAGCTTTCTTTCATCCATAGCATTATCTTTTCATTTTCAAGATTATTTGATTTTAATGCATTGAACATGAAAATTTGTTAAGTTAAGCAGTTTAAATTTCGTGAATGAAATGAGGGAAATTTGCTTTCATAAAATTTAATTTTGATAATTCATTTTTGCAATGAATTGAGTGGTTTAAAGCACAGCAGGATATATCTTCCGGAAGCTTTAAACATGCCGAAAAGATACTGTTACATTTTAATTCATTAACACCAGGTGGTGTAAACTACCAATAGCGCCAGTATCAAGTTTAATGAGTGGATTTTTTTGATAGTTGACATCATGAGATTTGTTCGAAATAATGGTATCATAAGCTTACGCCTCTGTATGCAATTATGTTATTAATTAGAAATTTACTCGTAATTTCTCCATTTCAATATAATTAAATTTCATGGTTTAATAAACTTTGTGAACTATATTTCAAACAAACACTTACTTCTAAATCATTCTTATCATACAATGCAATAAACATCATTTACATTGAACTTGATTGGAAACTTTAGAAGCATTAATTATTTTACAATATATTTCATAAGGCTTATTAAGTTATAAAATTTATTTGAAGTAATCAGCTTATTTAAAAACGAATAGTGATTACCGTTTTAGAGAAAAATAAAATCATATCAAAAACTGATATTAGGTAATGGTAGAGGAAGCTGTAACGTATAAAAATTTTCCTTAAGTTTTATTAAATATTTTGCATTATTTGTAGGAGTTATGTTGCAATGCTTTACAATTAATTATCAAAATGAGGATTAAATTTTACATAAATGTTTTCATTTCGTTTTTTTTTTTTTTTTTTTTTTTTTTTTCTTTTACTCAATGAAAGGAATTCAGAACAATTAATGAATTCGAAGAGGCGACAAAAGAGATTTCAGCCATTTTAGAGAAGTAGCAAGGATAGCTTTGAGTAAATCTTGTTAACGTCATGTACTGAAATTTAGACGTCTTACAGATTTGTAGATGACTTTTCACGTCAATAAATTGCTTACTGGTAATATCTGATTGTAAGCCAATAATCATTAATTGTCAAATAATCGAAAGAACTTCTTACTTCATGCAACTTTTAAAATTGTTAACAAACCAACAGATGAAGGAATAAGTTTTTATTAATGATTCAGAGGAAAATTGAATAGAAAGTATATTGTATTGCTGATAAACTTAATCAACTTATTCAGCTTATCATTGTTTGCTAAAAGGAGTAAGTGCAGCAAATAGATAGAAATATAAATAAATTATACATATGAATTTCTGTATGCTAACAAAAATTCATTTGCTCAACATCATTGCAAGTATTTTTTTACAGGAAATACAGGTATGATAAATATAAGCAGACAATGTTAAATAGAGCACTGTTTGGGTGATAAAGAAGCAAAGTAAATAAATAATGGAATATTTGTTATTTTGATATAATAGTTTAATGTTTTAAAAAATTCGCTTTGATTTCAAAAAAGAAAAAAAAAAAAGAAAGGAGCATCTGATGATGCATCAATCGGCGAAGTAAAAAATTGAAATGTTAACAGTGATAATAAACGAAGACAAAACAATCATTTTATAAAACGTTTCTTGAAAGTAACCATCGATCAGTTGCTAGTAATGGAAAATACTGCTATTGTTGCTATTCTAGTTTGCGCCATTTCTGCGGCATTTGCTCAATTACCTGTGCCATATTTTGAAAGACCGGATATGATCACCACGAATACAAGATGCATCGGTATTCTCTTCTCTTTTTTCCTTTTTCATGGCATATTAACAGTAACAATAATAATAGTAAATACAAAGTAAAAATTAGAAGATAAATTATTTGATTAATAAATCAAAATGGTATCACATATAAATATTATCAAAAATTAATACATCCAAATAGCTTCTTAAACTTCAAAATTTATTTAGCTTTGATAAGTTTACCATTTGTTTCACCAGCTAGTTCACAAGTGACGTTTTATGATTGTGTAAAAGTCAAAATTGGTAAGATGATACTTAAGCCAAGTAAACAAAGTTATGTTATTAACTTTGAATTTCTCTGTGCAAGAAATACAACATTTCTTTGATTCAAATTATTGTAGAGAAAGAGTGTGAAAATTAAAACTAATAACAATCCTTTTAGCTTCAACATTTCTGTACAAAATCAAAATTAAGCTATCTTAACTTTAAAAAAATATTTTTTTTTTTTTTGTTTTATTACTACTTTTATTTTGGTATTTTTCGTATATTTCCCCGAAACAGCAAGAAACTTACGATATGAAATTTAAAACATGAAAAGAAGTGTCAAGTATTCAAGATTTTCCTACAAACAGTTGTAATATTTTAACGAAAAATCAATAATAATTTATAAAACTGAAAAATTAATTGCTATTTATATATAAAACAACAACGTTTATTGTTTTTATTGAAATTATTTACTTTATGCCACATTAAATTCAATTAATTTTACTCTCTAATTTTGTCTTAATGACAGCTATCACAATCTTATCCGCTTCTTTACTCAAGCGGAATACTGGATTACGAAAAGATTACGAAAAAGTTTTTAGCTGTAACAAAATGATTTTAGCTCAATCAAATTCAATAAAATTGGCCTATCATAAGCCAAAACTGTGATTTTTATTCGAAATATATCTTGAAATGCTCACAACAAAAGCAACAAAAATTAGCATTGTTTATAAAATTAATAAATCATTTCAACTTTATTCCACAGATGCTCCAATGATGATTATCGTTAAGTGAAGAAAATTGTTAGACGCTTTTGCTTTTTTTTGGAGTAAAAAATGACAATGCCGAAAAATGGGAAAAAAAAAAGTGAAATATTCCGAATCTTTCATATCTATAAGTACCATAAAAATAATGATCAGAAAGGTGTATGATAAGTTTTATGGTTATCAGTAATTCAAGTATATCTGATGTTTCTTTTTAACTAGCATAGCTTTAACTAATCTTTTCAAAGATTTTGCCCTTCTCAACTTTTCTCGAATAGCAGTTCGAGATTACTACAACCTGAAAATAATTTGGGAAAGATTTAGGACCAATCATTTTCAGCATGTACAAGGGCAGCAGCTTTTCGAACGAACATTGATGGCCAAGATACAATTGCCCAATGTTCATCTGGGAACGATGTTAGAGATCGATGCCAAGGATGCTGTGAAGTTTATGCCATTTACAATGGAAGACAAAAAGTGCTCTTAATTATATTTTATTTGAAATGAAATTTTTGCGGGATTTATAATTTGAATCATTGGACTGATATATTTTAATGTTTGGCCTTCAAATGTCTTATTTGAGAAGGACAATAAAAATTGTTTATCAAAGAATTTAAAAAAAAATTTGGACAAAACTTTTTGTTTTTTGTTTCACATTTTGCCTGACTTCAATGAACTAATTAAAGTAAAGTTTAACTTCATAAAATTGAAATAAAATAATTATTTTGTTCATTATTATTAGTAAAAAAGGAAAATACATTGAATTTTATTTCAATAGAATTAATTTCAGGCTGAAGCGGCTAGTTTCCCCAGCAAAGATGGAAGCTGTATTTGCTGCATGACATGTTGATTGATCCATTAATCGTCATTTCATAAATCTAATCGATCCTTGATATCACTGATTTATGAGCATTTATTGTCTGAGTAACAATAATTTTATTTTGCATTTGCTTTTCATTTACACAAATATTGCAAAAAACCTTTCGAAATGAAAATTATAGTTGAGAGATAACACTTGTCGCTCCATCCATACTTTACCTGTAAGTTCTTTAGTTGTTCAGTTGTCGTCTTACAGCTAGCTATCCTGTGTTATAATTATATTGTCACCAAGTCTAGCGACTTGTATTGTACTAGGCTTCAGGTCCTACCAGAAATAACTTGTCCTAAAGCTGAAGGTCAGATGTCACACGACGATGCACTACCGCATACCAAAAAACAGTCAGTATTAAATCATATTGATCTGTACTTTATTTGAAACGAAAATCCCGTAGAAAAATAAGAACAATTGAAACTATATTAAAAAAAAAAAAAACACCAAATCAGTGAATATTAAAATTTTAAAGAAATGTGTTGAAGTATATTTACCAATCGACTTAATAATGAAATTAGCACAGTGAAATCCATCATTCACAATATGAGCTATAATTGATAGCTTTCAGCTATTCCGAGGATCAAAAATTGAGAATAATTATAAAATATGACTTCTTCCTTACCTTAAATGTTTGAAAAAAATTTTTCAGAGTTCTGAAATATGGTTTTTACTTTGTTTCGGACAAGTTTCGTTTTTGTATCTATGAGATTTAAAAATCCCTGAATTTCATTCGTTTACGGTTTATGTAATCAGAAATCTGAGCTTGCAGACATCTGTAATAGACCTAGAATGAATGTCAAATGGATAGTTGTAATGAATGTGGAATTATCAAACATTTTATCAAAGTTAAAGTTTATATATTAATTGAGTGAATGAAAGAAGGAAAGAAAAGTAAAGCTTACAACTTTTTAACATATTATTATCCAAATTATCGCTCTAAATTAGTACGAAAAGCAAAAAAATTCCACATTTACTATGTGCGAGAAAGCAGTAATTATATTTCAAAGATTTGTAATTTAAAAATTTGAATTGCTAAATTTAAAAAATTCACTGAAATGAAAAACATGCAAAATCAATTCAAGCTAAGTCTTTCATCCTATAAACAATGAATGTGTGAATTACTTTCGCCATTTCCTTTAGTCTCTAGAAAATAGTAATTATATTTCAAACATTTGTAATTCAAAATTTTGAATTGTTAAGTTAAAAAGATAGTACAGCTCATCAAACAGTTACCACAAAAAGTTTTAAGTCGAACAAAGTTCATTTGATAAAATTTGCCGAGAAAAAGAAAAAAAAAATGTATCAAATTAAATCTGTTATTCATTGTCACATTAAAATGATTAATTGACAAATTTTGTTGTGACACAACTAATTAGCAAACATTTGAGACGAACATAATTGATACCATATGTATCATTTTAAAACTCATAGCACTTACAAACATGAAAACTTTAACTCCATTCCTTGCTATTAACAATTAGCCTAGTTAAATTTCAATACCTTAAAGTGAAATTTGACTAGAGAACTCGAGACTGGAAACACTAACAAAAGTTAAATTGTACCTTTAATCATCTGTTATATCCTTGTTTAACTACCATGTATGAACTACCACTCATAGATTAAAGTAAACAGAATGCTACAACATTGATATATCCCCTCCAGATAGCATATTTAATTAACGGGACAAGGTTACTCATCCAACCATTCGATGGTCACCAAAACTGCCAGCCAGTGTCGCTCGCTGTGTTAGTACGAAATGCCACCAACGAAGTTCGTTTGTTTGCAAAACAGTGCATTTCCTTGTTGCAACACTCATTGAAATCGTCGTGGGTGGTTTAATTAGTGTGGCATCGAGACGCGTAGCCATTTGCGAATGTCTGCGATATATTTGTTTACGATTTTGCATTGACCTCTGCTGGACCACCCACGATGCTTCGTTTTCAGTTTCTGTTACTGCAACGGTTACTTACACACCAGCAGCCATCACAGTGGATTTCGTTTACATCAAATGCGATCAGTACTATTCCATGCATTTTTGCAACTGCACAATCATCACTGCATGTAATTTGTTTTGTTTTGCGTACATTTGAAATTGATGAAATGAATTTTGTCTCATCATAGCTCTGCAGGGAAATTTATAAAATTCATAAATATTATTAACATTTTAAATTGTGGTATTTCCTTATATGATAACCTTTTCATAGAAAGTTTGCGCTTTTAAAAGGATTTTTTGATGATATATGCATCGTATTATTGAAAATTATAATTATAATAACTAGCACATGTTACAATGTTGTTAAATGTTATGCATTTCGATGGAATATTTAAATGAATAGACAAAATATGTGAATCATAAATTTGAAAGTGTTATCATTTTTACATGAATCAAATAAATTTTACACTTTTAAACTATTATTTTAACAATAAATACAATAATTACTTATAGTATTATCCTTAATATGAAATTGTCCTAATTTGAAATTATGAATTGTGACTGGGATAGAAATGTGACTCGAAGTTGAAAGAAATTATGAGTGCTAAATTCATAAAGAGTTCAAACTGAGTGTGTTTTCTCTTTTCTTTTCTTTTTTTGCATGAGACTGATAAATTGTTCTATAATTTCTTCAATTACATCTTTACATATCATTGAAAACATCGAGTATCGCAATTTAACAATAGGTAACATCAGGTAATAGTTTTGGATCACAGAATAATCGTGAAACACTCTCTTTAACTTTAACTTTAATTTATCGTTTCGATTTATTCGTCCCAAATAACAGAAAGTTTAAATTTCATTTTTGGATAAAATTTTCCTTATTTCTATTGAACTAAAATTAATATTTTTTGAAATCAATTCGTCTTTTCTGCTGAATTCTAAAATACATCAGTCAGGTCGATCTCAAATTTTGATTAGCAAAATTATGCAAAATGTCGGGGTGTGATGCAAGAAGTAGCGAACGATCTAAGTAGTACTGTTTTGCTCTCTCAAATTAAATATAACTTTGACGTTATTCAATCAAAACATCTGCGACACACTAAAACCTATTACAAACTACCGATCCTTATTACATTTCAAAAACGAGTTCTCTAAACTTGTATCAAATACTGATTGCTGATAATAATAATAATAATAATAACAGTAATAAATAATAGCAAATAATGATGAGGTTTGCGAAAAAATTTAAAATCCGAATACCACACCAAATGTATTTTACTTCTTCCCAAATCCAATTATTTAAGGTATTGAAATTTTTGAAAATTAAAATATCCTCTTTTGAATTCTTTTTAGAAAAAATGAATCAGTAAGATAAAAGAGAAGAAATTCAGACCGAAAAATCAAAATAATTGTCCAAAGAATGATGATGCTTAAAAAATTTCTTTTCTTCCTTTTTTCCATTGTCGCAACCGTATGCTATTAATTTTACTTCTTCCTGTCTGAATAATTTTGCAAAAAGGTAAGCGATCGAATTGTGTATAATCGATTGTTTCAAACAGCTTTCAATGAAATATTTGTTGACACTTAATACATCAACTATGTCAATTCAATGATATGAATTCAATGCAATATTGCATACACATATAAACGTATGAACACATATATTTTGATAATATCTGTTAAAAATTAAGTTAAAATCAATTGTTCTGCATCAGATGTTTAATTTCATATTTTGTTTTTATCAAATAATTATTGTATATTTTTGAGTAAAAATTCTATAGAAACTCTATTGTAATAATAAAAAATGAGGCATCGCTGCTATCAAAATTAGTTGTTCCGAGATATTTTCTTGTTTTTTTACTAATTGTTCCAACAGAATTTGATGAGAAATCGAACATTAACCGAGATGGACGAGTTAGAATGGAAAGCGAAGAGAATTAAAGAGGAAATGGAAAGAAATAAAAAATTATTAACTTTGTTGTTATTTGTTATACTCTTTCGTTACTTCTCTTATTTCTCTTCTCAGAGTTTTCAGACAGTGACAGTACTCAGATTTTAAACTTCAAAATTAACATCACAAAATCAAATAGTTTTGTTTGTTTCTAACATTACTTCTTCCCATTCCATATCTAACTCTTAGCTTATCACATAGCAGCAATCAGTCAGGTAAGACTTGAAATCTAATTACATCAAAACCGAAATGCAGTACTGCATGAATTTAAATAATTGTAAAATAACATTGTCGCCATAATAATAATAATAATTTATAAATAATAATAATGATAATAATAATAAATTTACTTTTCCATTCACCAGTTTGTCTTTATTTTCCAGTTATATTCTAGTAACAAACTTATTGACAAAAGCTTCAATAACAATGAAATTAGGTAAGAATTCTTTTCCATTTTCTCATGCCATGCAAAATGGAAGTTTGCACTAGTCTACCTGACATTTCTTGCCGGAACTTAGTTATGCTATTTTGCATAACTAAGTTCCGGCAAGAAATATATGCTATTTTGCAGTTTGCATGTTTAAGTTTGCTAAAGTATATCGGTTAGGACAATTTGTTTGTACTACTGGAAGAAGACAAAGAAGGTTAGTGCTTTGAACGAATGAATTTAAAAAGGTTTTGAATCTTTTTTTAAACTACCTGCTAACACAATGCTAAGTTTTGAAAGCATTTCTTCAACGAATAATTGAAATTGCTGTTGGAAGTATCTTTATGAATATTCACTCAATTTTTTGAAGCAAAAATAGGTTAATTTTATATTGCACATTTTTTAGGACAGAAACAAGCCTAGTATATAGCAGACTTATCCGTAATTTCTGCTGAACAAGATGGCAAATTTGGTGACAATTTACGTCCTTTCATTTTTGATGGTGTAAAAGTTATCCAATACTTGGAATTCTGGAGTGGGAAATCCTGAAACGAGTAGATCAACCACTATAAAAACATGTAATTGGTTGAAAAGCTTATACTTTAATTTGATCTTAGGCATTTGACTGTTCCCGCATTTTCTGATCCTTATGAATAATGCAACCGGGAATGTCGTCTTTCTCGTCAATCGATGCTTTTTGTAAAGTTGACATTCTTTAAGCTGTATGGATCAACACAATGCTTTTTTTTTTTTCGTGACTGGTTACGAATATGTTCTGGTCTCTACGGCTTATAAAGTATGTATTTGAATTTATTTTATCAGTTAAATGCCAGATATATCGTAATTAGTGGTGAATAGACAGACTTTTCGCTTTGATAGTAAATCTGCTGACAAAGTTTTCTTCTTAGTAGATTGAATTTTAATTTAAAAATTTTAAATAAAATAAGACGAGAAATTGAGCATATCATTGCTGCTAGTTATGTAGAAAAATGATATATTAATTAACATACAGTGATAAACAGTCTATCTGTTTATCTTATCTATCTTGTATACTTCACATTGGGAATGAAATTTCTTAATCAAAAATTTTTATTTAAAAAAGAAGTCTTAATTTTTGCTTTATGAATGCAGCAAAAATTGTTGGTCCATTGGCAGTTTAAAATAATTTTACAGTTTGCTGAATAAATCTCATATGACAACAAATTTGAGTACTTAGAATTAAACTTATGTATTAGTTTTATCAATAATTTTTTTGATTATATCGTCTTAAAAACTTTTCAGTTTTTAAATTTAAAAATTTTCGTTTTGACATTTATTGTTAGCTATATTTCTTTTTTTTTTTTTTTTGTTCACATATCTTCGTTACTTGCTTCATACTGTTTAAAAAAAAAAAAAAATTAATTTTGAATATAATTAGATGTAGTTGCTTTTGTTTACAGAATTTTAGCTTACTGATTCATTTATTTTTTAGAAGCTAATGCTAACAAGTAGGAATGCAACAATATTAAATTTATCCTAATTTCAACAAATTCCGAAATTGAATAAAAAAGGTTTGAAACATGAAAAAAATTAAATTGAACCTTTTTTTGATTATAAATGTGATCAAATAATTCATTACAGTGACATTAATGTCACCTGCATTTCAGTATGATAATTATGTTATAGTAATTAAAGTATTGCACTGATTTAGGTGTGAAAAAATGTTGAGCTATTATTTTGAAAGATAAAATAATAAGATTTAAATAGTTACTTGCAAATTTTTATTTATCTGATCAAAATTATAATGCCTTCTAAAACATAAAATATCACCGATATAGTAAAACCAAAAAATTATAATCAGACAATAACAAACAGAAAGGTTATTTAAGGAGTGAAATCGAGTTATTACAATCATTTTCGGTGTAATTTGTACTAGTGCAGTTGCTTGACATTATCTCTATAATAATTGTCATTTTGGTGCGACAATATCCCCTCGTCCTATTGTCTCTAAACAAAGTGGGAGTGTTTTGTTTGTTGTGTATTGTTAACGTAAACTATCCCTCTTAATTCTATTTTAATTTTCTTTTCTTTTTCTTTTTTTTTTTTTTTTTTTTTTTTTTTTGATTTTCAAGAGATATTAGCAATTAGCAAGATAAAACAAATCATTAATCAATTAACAACAGTTATTTGCCAGTAGAATAAATATTTTCGGTAAAAAATGTAAAATTATAAATTTGAAAATTAACCAATATTTAAATTCCTCACCGTAAATACCTCACTTTTAGCTTTTATTTCCTTTTTGAAAAATTTCAAACAAAATGGAGGTTGACGAAAATTCATCGGAAGAGCCAATGAGTATTGAAAGAAATGAAAAAGATGGTTAGAACTATATGGATCAAATTTTCATATCCTATTTCATTTCATTTCATTGTTTCGTCTTTTTGAATGCATCTTAATATCGCCAAAAAATTTTACAATCAGTCAAAAGTTAATTTATACATTAAAAAAGCGTTAAAAAAACACAGACGCACACACACACATTACACATTAAAAAAGCGACGAGTTTTTTAAAGTCTAAAATTTACAAATTTCAAAGGTTTATAAATGATTGCTTAATTAAGTGTAAAAGCCAAATAAGATAAGACTGAATCTATGACAAAAGTGTGACCATTTACTGAAAATGTGTTCGCGAACTTCTTAAGCATAAAGTAAAATAAGCATTCAGCACCTTTTTCAAGGTCAAGAAATAGGATTTAACCCGATGATAACTCGATTTATATATATGCGTTTGTGTGTATGTGTATGTGTGAAGCAATTATATATATAATCGATATGCTTTATTATTTCAATTTGTCACTGATATATTTTATCATTTCATTCATGTTTAATAATTGTAATATCTGATAAGGAAGAGAGTCATTTTGTAGTCTTACTAGTTAGATAGGTAGTGAAATTTAAAGCTATTATTGATTGAATGGCAATAAACTTCAGTAATACTTTCACTTTTGTCATTTAAATTTCATACCTGAAACGACCAAATAGTTAAAAAAAAAAAAACATATTTTGTCACTAATTTTATTGATGAAAGAAATGTCAGTGATAATGCATTCTAAAGTAATATCAAGTTATTCGATTAAAATATAATTTTCTTTCGCTTTTTCTTTTTTTCTTCAGAACCAGATACAACTGAAGAAGAATGGGATATTTTTAATGAGTATGGTCAACTAGAGAAAATTAGCGAAGGTCTAAATTTGTTTCATATGTTCAATAATTTATTTCGATTTTTTAATATCACTGTAAATTTCCATATATAAATTTTTTTTTTTTTTAAAAAATGCTGTTAGGTGCATATGGTATCGTTTACAAGGCTATTGATTTGCAATCGCAAGAAACGGTGGCAATAAAAATGATTCATTTCGAAAACGAGGAAGATGGTATCCCGGTTACATCTTTGCGGGAAATTTCATTGCTCCGTGAACTAAAACATCCAAACATTGTTCGGTGAGTTCTCTTATCTTTTTTTTTTTTTTTTTTTCTTTCTTTCACTTATATTTTTGAAATAAAAAATTGTATAGAAAGTGTTTTGGTGACATTTTTTATGGTATTACATTACTAATTAATTTAATTGTTAATAGTATATTTTGCATTTTTTAGATAATTTTCTAGTAGATCCGTATATCATAAGAAAATAAATTTTTAAATGTTATTTGAAATTTTAGTCTTGGACGAGTTATTCTGGACGTATCGTGCATATTCCTGGTTTTCGAATACATTAGCATGGATTTGCGTGATTACATTAACTCACTTCCGGACGGTGTAACAATGAGCACAATAGAGGTTCTTGCTTCATCTTTTTTTTTAAAAAAAATCATATGTAATTTTCAATGATAAAGTTTGATTTCATCATAAAGCTGTCGTCTTGAAATTTCTAAATGTTTTAGCAAAAAACTTTTTTGTATCAAATTTTGCGAGGCGTTTGCCACTGCCATGAGCGCCGCATTATGCATCGCGATTTAAAGCCACAAAATCTGCTGGTTAGCTCCGAGGGAATTATAAAACTTGCTGACTTCGGTCTCGCACGAGCAGTTAGTGTTCCAATGCGAGCCTATACTCATGAAGTAAATTTGTTCGCATTTTCTAACAAATCAGATCATTCAAGAGTGATTAATCTGATTGATTAACTGATTTCAAATGTAGTTGAGAATATGTGTTGTTTGAACTTTTTGCTTTTAAATCTATTCTAATATTCTCAAGTAAACACAACACTTCATTGAATCACTGTATTAAAAAAAAAAAAAAAAATCAGAACTGAGAATTGATAGATCATGAAAATTATTTCTTATCGGATATCAATAGCTACAAAATGTCAATGATTATGAATTATTTCACTGATACTATTTTCTCTAAAGTTTCAATCATTACGATTTGCTGTTTATTAAATAGATCGCCACCTTATGGTATCGGCCACCGGAGATACTACTTGGTGAGAATCGATATTCGTTTGGAGTTGATATATGGAGTGTCGGATGTATATTTGCTGAAATGGCTGCGAGAACACCTCTTTTTAAGGGTGACTCAGAAATCACTCAGCTATTTTCTATTTTTAGGTTTGTCATCTATCTACAGGTATATCGTTCCTTCATCTTTGTTGCTATTTTTCACTGTTGGCATTTTCAGCATAATGTCAACTCCAACCGAAGATAACTGGCATGGAGTATCGCAGTTACCAAATTATCATGATACTTTCCCTCAATGGAAAAGATGTTGTCTGGACAAGGCATTGCACAGATGCATGGACTCTGAGGGTTTGAAAATCTTGAAGGTTCGAAGTGTTTTTTTTTTTGCAACTCTAAATTTAGGAAATTTAAAAATGGAAAAAATGATAACTGTTTGAATTACAGGCAATGATAAAATATAATCCGGCGGAACGAATTTCGGCCAAAGAACTTTTAAAAAATCCATATTTCAATGATATCGACTGGGAAAAACTGACAGCAGCTGGTTATGATAATGCTATAAAACTCTATGAAAACTACTAACTCTGATCTAATCTCATCTACTATTCCAGAGTTATTCAGCTAATCATTTCCATCTGTTTTTTTCATTCTGCAAATATTTGTACAATTAAATATATGGATTTTAAATTGATATGATATGTTTAAATGTGGATGTGATACACCTCTTGGTAGATAATTATTAAAACACGTTTTCTTCCAATAAATTATTTAATTTATCATCATTTTTACAGAAAATCTCATGTGCAAAAGCTCAAGTTCAAGATCCTAAAATCAAATTGAATTGCAGAAGAAATTTTTCAAAAAGCAAAATAAGTTGAGCTGCAGAAGAAATCATTCAAAAATCCTGAATGGATTTTTGAATGATTTTCAATAATTAGCATAAAGGAGCTAATTAAATTCTGAAGAGATAATAGCCATATAGTTCTAATGATGTTTTACTTTTCTATTCATAAAAATTTGCTATTTCTGGAGCATATTTTCATCGTAAAATTAAATCAGCAAATTTTTTGGAAGGAGATCATCTCAACTACAATTGTCAAATGATTCAAATCCGAATAGCTACAAAAAGTTGTAAAAAATTATAATTTTTGATATTTACGTGGACCTATTCTAGCAGGCAAAATGAATAAATAGCTTTTTTTTTTTTTTTTTTTTTTTTGTTAGCCTAAACAGAGTGAAAACCAAGTGCTCTGCTAGGCTTTATTGTGAATAACTTAAATTCATCCTACTTCCAACCTGAAAAAGAATACTTTAAGAGATAAAGAAGTATTATGGCGGTGTAGGAATTGCCGTAAATTGAAATCAGCTTATCATTGTATAGTAGAAACGAAACGAATAGATTTAAGTTTGAGAGAAACAAACTGGTGAATGAATTTTATACGACATTGAAATATGATAGAAATGAAATTTAGAAGGTTCTTTTGATTAACAATGTCTCCTTCAGAAAAGGAAGAAGGTGAGAGGGAGAAAATGATAAGTAACACACATTCAGTTATCTCTTAACAAAGATATCAAATCTCACTAACAATGCTCATAGATACTAATCATAGCAATTAGATGAATTTCGAAAGAAAATAAACAATGAAATACTAATTTTCACTTTGTAATTTTTGATTAATAACAAAAGAGAAAGTTTGATGGCAGAAGAGAAGAGATAAGATGAAAATTGAATTTCAAATGCTTAATCTTTCGTCCTTTTTGGCCAATGAATAGTTTCATCCTAGACTATGTATGCTTTATAGAATAAATGATTTAAGACAGTATGCGCCTAGTTAAAAGTAAAGCATTTTATATTAGAAATTTTATTATTATCTAAAATTTTCAATTCATGACGCGTGAATTACGTGAAACTGACAAAACAAATGGACATTCTCGAAGTAGTAAAATTTATGAGAAATCATCAATAGACTCAAAATAGTTATATTCAATTCAACATTCACTATACTTCAATATTAGAAGAAAAAATCATTTCAATCATTAATGTAAATAAATTTTAAAAGATCAAAAATTTTTATTTCAGTGTATTATTTGAAATTAATTTTATATATTTGATTAAAGCATCAAATTTCATTTGTTCGATGTATAAGAAATTTCATTCATTTAATTATCAAATAAAATTTGAATTACAATATAAAAACATTACCAACATTGTTATTTTAGGTTACGTGATAGATTAAAGATGAATTATTCGATCATCTCTCCCTCCCCTACCCTTGCTCATTCTCCATTGCATAATCGCTCGTCCCTTCCCTCTCCTAAATCATTTCAAATTATCATTTACCCATCCATCTACCTACCCACCCTATCTTCATTACCGTATCCCACCCACGCGTCTATCATAAATCTGATAGCATTTGGGGAGCAAAAGGGCATTATTTGTAAAAGTCACGTAGTCTCGAGGACTGCTTGCGCCTTCTCCTGCCCTCCACCTCCGCCTCACCCTCATCAGCCCATTTCATTCATTCCTTCCTTCCTTCCTTGCTCGTGCGCTTCCCTACTTACCGTCAATTTATATATTCAATCCTTATTAATTTATATAATAATTACCCTATGTCCAATACGTCCACGTAAACACGTGCGACACTTTGCATTCATACCTGGAACGTATGCATTGGTATGAATTAGCTTGTGTGTGAATATAGAAATGAGTATGAATATTATAATATTATCCTTATGATTTGCTATAATAACTAATGCTTGTAACTTACGTATTCTACGTATAGCACAAGTAATCTAGTTCGTCCTGTTTCCAGATATTTTTTTCCTAATTATATTTGTCTTCATGAAAACACCTGAATTATATGTCATGAAGAATTCACAAACCAATCACTTTTTTCGAAAGTTGCATTTGTGATTTACTAATCTATTAGCTGGAACAAATATATTTCTAATAGAATCATTGCCATCATTTAGTTATATTTTTCTCCTTTTTTGTTTACAATTAATCGTTGTAACTAACTGAGCTGCTGTTATATTGTAAAGGTAGAATACATGTAATATATAATTATATTATGCTTTTGCAGTAATTTTAGAACTTTTTTAACATGAAAATGTAATGCACAGTTACAGAACTGGAATTAAACAGAACGATGGATAGAACTGCTTTGGATAGATACGAACGGACTGAAATCCTTGGTGAAGGTAATGAAGAATATATCATGTTAAGATCATAGGGAGCAGTTTATGAATTTGAAGTCCTGAGAAAAAAAATAAAAATTAAGCATTTTTCATTTTTTCTCTACTGCTAGGATCGTTTGGTATCGTTTACAAAGGATTTGAGAAGAGCACAGGTGATTTGGTAGCAATGAAGAAGATGCGCTTGAGACATGCTTCGGAAGGTGTTCCGGGTACGGCTCTTCGTGAAATGACGTTGCTTAAAAGACTAAAACATCCCAACATCGTTTCGTACGTCTTTTTTTTTGTTTCTATTTAAAGCTTTTCGAATATATAATTTATTGACCATTAAATTACTGGAAGTTAAAAAGTGAATGTAAAAGGATCTTGTGCCATAATTTGATTGTTGTGAAAATACTTATTATTCCAAGTATATTATTGATAATGAGAAAATCATTTGTTTCATATAGTTCTTCCAATTCAATGTTGCTAACATACTGTAGTACATTTTGACCAAAGTTTGATTGATTTTAGTTTGAAAGAAGTGATTCTGGACGAACGACTGGTTTACTTGATATTTGAATACCTTAGTATGGATTTAAAAAAATGCATTGACAAAATTCCTTATGAAGAACTAATGAATAAAAATGAGGTTGGTATACTTACGTTCTTACAGACAACATTCTGTAGTTCCGCAAATTATTCCTTCTTAAAGCACAAATTTTTAGTGGCTTAAAAAATTTTTAAAAAAATTATTAATATTATTCGTTGCAGCTAAAGTCGTACTTGTACCAAATTTTGCAAGGTATCTGTTTCTGTCACCAGCGTAATGTTCTCCATCGTGATTTAAAACCACAGAATTTGCTGGTTGACGGAAAAGGTTGCCTCAAGATTGCTGATTTTGGTCTCGCAAGAGAATTGGAGTTTGCAGAAAGAAGATACACTGATGTGGTCAAATTTTTTCAACTTTATTTTTTCTATTTCAGCACTCCAAAAATTGCGCAACATCTCAATGTTTTTTTTTTTTTTTTTTTTCAAGAAGATATGTTGCCCAGATCTTTAAAACAGTTGTTAGAATTTATATTATTTGCAGAATTTCTGCATTGCAATTTATTTGATAAACTTAGTCTATAGGTGGTCACTTTATGGTATCGACCACCAGAAATACTGTTCGGTTGTACCAATTATTCGATGGCAGTTGACATTTGGAGCATCGGGTGCATTTTTGCTGAAATGGCCATGAAAACAGCTCTCTTTAGGGGTGATTCGGAAATCGATCAGATTTTCCGTATTTTCAGGTTTGTTTATCATATTAATTTAACATCCATATTCAATTATGATGCTTCATTATTGAAATCTTCAGTATACTGTCAACTCCGAAACAGGAACTAGAGAGTGGTGTGTTAAAAATGCCGCGATTTCTAAGATCATATCCGGTGTACGAAAAAAACATACTTTCGAAAATTCTTGCTAGCTACATGGACGAAGAAGGAATCAAGATCTTGAAGGTATGGAAAGCTCATCCCACGTTTCAGAAATTTTGTAGTTCTATAAAAGTTGGTTGGTAACTGTTTAAGATACAAAAGTTTTCTACTAAAATTCTAAAATCTATAAGTACATTTCCATTACTATTATGTTCTTTGCAGACAATGCTTACTTACAATCCGAGAGAGCGGGTCTCAGCAAAGGCACTGTTAAAGAATCCGTACTTCAACGACGTCGACCGGTCGAAACTTCCAGCGGGGAATTATGACGGATCTGCTGTACCACCTCGTCTCTGGTTTTAATTTTCCCATCCTTTTCTGCACTGATCGTTCTTTTATTTTTCTGGTTCTAATAATTATTGAAAACTATATATCTCAAATGTCTTAAACTTACTTTTATATGTTCAGTTTTTCCAAATTACCTAAGTAATGCATACATCATCTAAAATAAGAATTCCGCAAAGATAAAAAAATAAAAAGAAGCTGTATCAGAGTTTGAAAATTTTTTTGAACGTGTGAATTTATTTGTTAACTGTTCACTTTTTGGCATCTCGAATGTGTTTTAATTTGCTTAAAACTTTTCTGTGAATATGGAAAGAGTTCTCTGTTCAATAAAGTTTTGTTCTATAATGCGTATCAGTTAGCATGAACAAGTTTTCCATAACTCATACTAGAATCAGCTTAAATTTGAGTTGAAATTATAATCCCAATCTTTATGGAAAAGCTAACAAAAACTTAGCAGAAAGTTTTTGCGCAAACCAGATTTATGTATTTTTTAACAATCAGAAGCATTGTTATGAAGGGAGGAATATTAGGTGGTCTTAGAACTTCAAATTAAAGTTTTTGAATTATCTCTACTCGCAATGAGGTGCATTTTGCTGGCACATTTCTAAATCATTGTTACTGGATCCTCGAGCTTCAATTAGATGTTTATCATTTGTTGACAATTGATCCACTCCCTTTTTTTTTTTCTACAGATTATTTGTCAATATGCACTCGATTATAATCTGATATGGAAGCATAACATCGCTAATGAATTGAATATGTCTTGATATCTGAAACTTTATCCAATATGTTTATCATTTTAAAAAAACCACAGATTTTGAGCATTTTAAAATTTCATGCTAAATAAGCTCATCGAGGAAGATTTCAAAATTTCATATACATTTGATAGCTAATAGTATGTAATCGTAACAAAGATGGCATTACAGAATTTGTTATTTCGATCGAATTAATGCATCAATATTTTATTAAATTTTATACAAATCTGATAGCATATTTTAATGGATTTTTTAGCAAATATGATTTGATCAAAAGTTTTTAAATTAAATTTTTTTTTCTCTCCCTCGCTTCTACTACTCTCTCTTCTCTCTCTTTACCGCAATGTTTGCCATTTCTATGCAGGTAAATCATTGATTCGAAACATCAAAAAAAAAAGAATAAAGGTTTTGCACGACGAAAGTAGAAAAAAAAAAAAGAAAAGAAATGGCAGTTGTAATTAGGTCAAAATGACAAAGACAATGAATGTGTGATTCGAATGTGTTATTGACATCAAACCGAACGGAGTTAATTTTTATCAAATTTCTAGCTGAATCATCTTCGAACTAGTGTTTATTAAAATTGTTTTCGCCGACTTTTATTCTACCACCAGAAATATTCTCGTGAAATATAATGTGTGATAATGATGTATCTACTACATTTTATCACTAATTGAATGAGATTCATTAGATTAGTGATGATGCTGGCTTCTAGGATTAATGATTAGTTACTAGAATACATAAAAATTGGACTTAAAATTATTCATAAAAGTTATTTAATTTTATCGTACGTTTTATAAACTGTGCAATTTTAGTGGTAAAAACGAAAGTCTACTGCATTTCACGATGTTAATTTGCTTATGGATTTTATTAGTCTCTGAAACATGCGGTAATTTTCTTTTTTTAATTTGTTTTTAATTAATAATTGTGAAATATTAGAAGCTGAATGAGTAAACATTTTCAAAAACACATAATGTTAATAATGTTAAAATTGTTTAGTATAATGATAAAACTACAAAATATTTCATCATTTCTAATGATTTAATTTTATTTTCAAATTTGATTTTCGTGTTTCAGGGCAGATATCATTTACAAAAACGAATGAAAATGAAATTTTTGATGTAGCATTTGGAAAGTTTATTTCCGAAGCTGATCATTCAAACAATGATCCGAGTACGTCGAAATTTGGAATGGTCAGAAATAAACCAGATGATAGCATGTCTAATTTAAAGGTTTACTGCAATATTTATTAGTATATTAGCAATTAATACATTTATAAAACATTTTAATTTAAATGAAATAATTTCGAAAAATCAATAAATAAGTATAAGAGTTTGTCACATGTATGCACGAAATGGTCTAATCAATAAGATTATTTTATATTAAAAGTGTTTTTCATTGATTTTTAAAGAATTACTTAAACTAATCTAATAAGTGCTTATTTTTCTAGAAATCAGATGACATCAACAATCAAGACATATTTGGTAAACAGTCATTTGAAAACGATATGATGTCTATATCGTCAAGGTTCCAAGAAATGAAATCAATTATTTTTTTGGAGTTTTTTGATTTTATAACAAAAGATTTCTGTATTTTTTTGTATTCATGCTTTCTTCAGTATTATTTTTTCAGTAAAAGAATACCTGAAAAGCTTTCACCATCAGTTCTCGATAGATCATTGATGATCATCGGTATTATAATTATTTACAATTCCATTACAATTCCATCTTTTTTTTTTTTTTATTTATTACTTGCCTTCTTTTTTTGCACCATAAATTTCTAAAATATTTCTAAACAAAAAAAAAAAAAAATATTTTTATGCCATAAATTTTCTAAAAAAATAACTTCAGGAGAAAAAGCCACTGGTGAAATTCTGAAAGAATTCAGAGAAGATGGAACTATGCATAGTGTCACCACTGAAATAAATGGTAATTTACAAGAGCCAACATCACAAATGAATGAATTTCTTCACAGGTTGTTTGAGATGATTTTTTTTTTAGCTTTTTTCATTAAAAAGTTAAAAAATTGAAGAAATTGAGAAAAATTAAAAAGTAGCAAATTTTAAAGTACAGATTAGGTAATTCTTTTAGTGTAGCAGATGAAGATACTGTCGAAAAGTTGGTTCAGGATTCAAATTTTATTCACACTAAAGAAAACTGGAATTTATCTCAGCCACATACGGAGAATTCATTGGATTTCCTCACTGTTAATACACCTATTTCCAATTTGAAAATGGTAACAGGAACAGATGATTCCAGTTTGAATATTATGGATTACACTGCAGGGAACATTCCGAACAGCCCGATTACCTGGAGCAATCCACAAATTTTTATTGAACCTATTCATATTGCAAATTTTCATTCAGGTACCAATTTTTTCAGAACTATCGTAATTAAAGCACAATTATAATTGTGTAATGAAATTTTGAAAAATGTTTTTCGAGTTATATAATGTTGAGCAGCAACTTAATGAATGATTGATTTCTGTTTGCCTAATAATCAGAAAAAAAAGCTTCTGCTATTGCCAGCTTAATGTTTATCAATTTATTTGTTTATTTTTTTTTTTCAGGTGATCAAATTTTATCTGTAGAAGCTCATGACAGGTTTAATAGTTCAATAGAATTCATATGTATGTTACCGGAAGTTGTATTTTGCGTTACCGATTTACTCAGCAATGATAGTTTTCGATTACGGATTGTTTACACTAGTACCGAGAACATTACGAATTTTAATTTACCTCTTACTATCAGAACACGAAGTCACGGAAGAGATTCGTATACGGTTTATATTTTATTGAATCTTTTCATTTTGATTTATTTTTATTTAGTGTTTATTTTAAAAGATCTATCTATTTTAATATAATTCTTTTGTCCAATTTAAGTTACGCATTTGCAGAGTTGGAATGCTTCTATACATTTTGTTACGGATTATTTGAATCCGGGAAATGAAATTCGTGCAGAAATCTCAAGCATGTCAACGGAACAAATTATTGGACATCAAGTTGAAGCAAGAAATGATAAGAAATTTCCTGTAGAACCAAATTTCATTGCTTTAGAGGAGCAATCACTTTCTATCTTGAATGAATCATCCATTAATCAGTCTGAAGAGGCAACAAGGAAGCCAAAAGCGCCTGTTTTTATTTTTATGCCACATTTCGAGCATAATAATTATGAAATATATGTACCGGAAGGAAAAAACAAGGTTTCACAGAAAATTTTGATTTCAATCATTTTTTTGTTCAAATTCATTCTCTTTTAAAAAAAATTTTTTTAATAGTTGTGGCAAAAGTTTTAGGATTTACATAGCATTAAGGGAAACATTGAATGAAACTTTCAATTGTATGCAGTTTAATGTATGCAAGATAATAAGTATACTGCAGGATTCGATGATTGTTGCTGTAGTTTACTTTTTGACCCATACTGATAGTGTCGAAACAAAATTTTCAATTCAATCCGAGCCACTTCAGTGGTTTTATCTCGGTGAAATGGAAAAAGAAACGGTATTTTTTGTGAATTTTTCTCATTTCCTCTTCCTAATATTTTATTACTGAATTCAATAATTCATCATTCCACTTTTTTTTTTTTTTGCTAATATTAAATAAATTAGACATTGCTATTTAAAAACACTTCCAAAAAAGCACTTATTTAGCATTTTTGCTTTATTTAGTTATGTACGACTAGCATCTAAATCTAACAGTTATTCATCCTTGTGTCTTAAATTGATTTTATTTTACCGATAACTTAGATATATTTGCCATTTAATTTAACATCAGCTGAATTGCATTTATGCACACAATAAAATACCTCAAAATGACCCAAATTAATACTTTTGCAATCTTAGTAACCCAGAAATATTTACTTAGCATGAATTTTTAGTTTGATATGAGTTAATAGATTGTTATATTTTAGAATGTAAACCGCCTTATTATTTCAATTAAAGTTATGCTACATGATGGTGCTGACGTTGATTTCAGAAAAACCAACAATGGCCAATATAAATTTCAAATTAAAGTAAAGTTTTTTTTTTTTTTTTTTTTTTAAAATGATTCTCTGCATCATACACGTTTTTCAAATGATATGGATTTCCATCAATTTCATTATATTATTTTAGGCTAGCCAAGGCAATTTTGAAACTTCTACAAATATCAATGTTGAAGTGCTGACGTTTGCTACCAAAGGGACATCTTATTCTTCTGATTTAACAACAATTTCTAGTTCGACCGAAACATCATTGATGGAAGAATTTACTATAACAAAACTTTCTATTGATTCAGAACATTATACTGTTACAGGCTCTGAGGATATTTTTGAGAATGCACCTGGAATTACTCCCGAGACTATATCGAATCTGAAACAAGTTGATATAGACACATCTACCGCTCATGGTAGCTGGAATATTAAAAAAATGCAAATTGAACCTACAAAGGGTTCTTCAGAAAGTACAGGTGAAACAGCAATCGAGAAACTGAGCAATATTCAAGAAATAGAAACTACAGAATCTGTCTTAGGACCTGAATTTTCTCGTGCTACTGTATCTCGAAGTTGGCATGCTACTGCAACATTATCATTATTTCCGGAAGAATCTCCTATGCGTGAGAATTTTGTGGAAAATTTCCAGTCGACCATTCATGATATTGAAACAACAACTAATAGTGCTGAATCTGAAGCGGAAAAACGATCAAAAGGATCTTTCTTTCTAAAAGTCAACGAAATAACAAAACACCAGTTAGAATCAGTGACTAAACCAATTCCTTCCTCATTTCGAGAATCATTCGAACAACTTCTAGAAACAGTTTCGGAAAATCAAAATATGGATGGTTTTGAATCATTACAAGATTCTGAAATAACACTTTCAGAGAATTCTCAAAAAGTTGGTTCTACGAATTCTGATAGTGATAATTTGGATGACAATCAATACATTTCAGCTTCATCTGAAGAAGAAACATCAGTGAGTGCCAAATTTTATAAGAATGCATTAACAACAGAAATAGATGATAGCACCAAAAACAACGAATCCGACGAAAGCAATAATAATTTCTTCTCTTCCAGCCAAGAACAGCTACCAGTTGATAATAAATCAAAAATGACCGCTGTTTCATCAATCCAAAATAGCAATAATTTATTCTCGAATAGTGCAATAGAAGATGGAAAAACTTTGCAAGAAAATTTTGATGCATCCTTCATTTCATTGACAACAACACCTGCAGTGGATGATTCTGCGAATAATGTTGACAACATGCACTGGAGCAAACACTTCCAAGAAAACTTCAAAAAATCTGCACCAAACTTTAAAACAAACGAAGACGACTTGGTTATACATAAATTAAGCACTAATAATGGTGATATTAGCACTTTTCTTGTTGATAATGATAATACCAGTTATGATGATATCAATACTGATGATGAGGATAAACGTCATACTTCTGCAAATATGAATTCTTTTACCGGGAAAGAACATACTAATAATAGTATTACCATTTCTGATAATATTGATACAACGGTAACTTCAAATAATGCGATAAAAACAGTTAATGGAGAACACAGAAATAATAGTATTAGGAGTCAGCAAACGTCGATAAGCTTAACAGACAAGGTTCACATGAATTTAGATTACGAAGCAAATGAAAGTTGGAATCAAAATGATAAGGAAAATTTTGAAATTAACAAAATGCAACGGACTCAGCTGACAAACAGTGATAAGACGACAGTTGCAGTTGTGTTACTTCCAGAAACAATTCGGACAGAAACCGAAGCTAAAGGAGAATGGCCTGAAGAAGGTGATAGTCTAGTGAATGGTTTCGGAATCAGTGAGATGGAATTAAAAGAAACAAGTAAGTTTAAGTGGTAGAATACTTTTAACAGACTTTCTGTGATCAAGTTTATATGTTTAAATCCAAAAAAATACTATCTGAAACAACTAGGAATTTTCACATTTTTATAAGAAAAGGGAAACATAACAATCGGATAAATAGCAAGTCATGTGAAGGAAAAATTTGATAATTGATTTTTAATTATTCATCAATTTCAGTGATAGATATGAAGTTAAGAGCAAGTGAAGGAGACAAATACATTTTGCCTTATGAATTTCGAGATTCCGACATTTTGTCTGATCTTGATATTATCATTACTGCCAGCAACATGGTAAGTTACTGAAAATCTTGAATTGCTTTTTTTCCTAAACAGTTAAATTCAAAAAAATTGTTTTTTTCTTTGTTTAGGATCCTAATGATGTGATTATGGTATCAGTAAATTCTTCTGCATTAGAAGTTATTCCACATCGTATGCAACCAGGAAAAACGGTTTTTCTTGCTATTCGTGATGCTGAGAAACTAGATCGCGATCTTTTGGATGGACCTGTTGTTGTTAAGGTGAAATTTACTGGTAGTTTTAAAAATTTCTTCTAGTGACTTTGAAAAAAAAAGCGAAATGAATTATATAGGGTAAATTCATAACGTTTCTTGTCGACAAAACTATGTTTTTTAGGTGACAGCATCTCAGCGAACACGTCCGTCAGTGATATCATCAAAAGTAATTAAGCTTATGAGAGATGAAAGTCTAAGTAATGAAGCACCAGCATTTTTGTTTCCTGAATATGATTTTCATATAAGTGAAGGTAGTATAACAGGACAAAAGGTTGGCCAAATGGAAGTTGAATTTGTGGATCACCGTGAGCATCCAATCACTTATCAGTTGATTGGCCCCGGAAGTGAACTGTATATTTTGCATATTTTGTTGCAGTATATTTACTTGTATAAATAATGTAAAAAAAAAAAAAAAAAGTAGTTTTAATTTATTTAAATTAAGTTACTTCATTTCGGTTTACAAAATGCTCGAAATTAAAATTCATTTGTCTGAAATTATTAGCCATCTTGTTTTAATATAATTTTAAAACAAATGATTAATAGCTGTAAGTTGAAAATTCTACTTTCTTCATATTTGAAAGTAAATTTGCCTAAAAATTCAAAAAGAAAAAGCAAACAACATTACTTTTTTTTTATCATAATATGCATGATAAATTCTACATTCTCTAAAATTCACTCATTTAAAGATTTGCGATAAATGGCGGTACAGTAAGCGTTTCATGTCCAAGTGTCATGCCATGTTTGGATCGAGAGCAAACTACTGCATATCACCTTCTTGCTATCGTTACTGATCTCAGTAAGTTTTTTCATTAATAATCATTCAATCATAATATGACTTACCTGAGGTCACCAGTAATGTAAAAATTACTTGAGAATATATCATCAACATTTTGGCTTAGTCCTTTTAGATTTTATGACACGTAGAATTTCACCCCTAACTTTTCATTACATACATCATCTTGAACACGAGCTGTTCACTTATATATTCACTTAAAGTGTATTAAAGCACAGATTTTCACCAGCATACATCCCTTTCCATACTGCTAGACCGGAAGTGGACTGATTTAGGAAAAAAGCATACTGTCAAAAGAGACTCTGGAATGTTGCTTATTTCTGAAATAGATCAGTTCAAGTTTTGTCACCAAATAATCTTTATCACCATTTATTGTATGTGACACCTATATAACATACAAATGTCCTGATTCTTAAGATGGTTTAAATTCCGTTCCTGCAATTGTAAGAATTCATATCGACGATCAAAATGACAATGGTCCAATTCTAGAAACATTGCAAAATGATATTACAGTATCAAACGGCCGTCTGACGAAGCCTTTTGTTGTAAAGGTAATAAAAGTTGATTTCGAATGAATAATTTTAAATGATGACAAAATAAAAATTACTTCCATAAATAAAAGGATGAATTTTTGTAAATGTTAAATTTTTACGGAATAATTTGCAATTAATTAACAGGTAAAAGATAACGATGCGGCACCATATAATATCAATGAGATAAGCATTGATGGTCCAGCGTCAGCATTTATTTCGCTAGAAAAGGTGCGTGATGACATTTACTACGGGCGGCTTTGGTCGCTGCCAGCAGCAGGAACTTACCAATTGAATATAATTGCCCGTGATCCTAATGGAGATATTCCAGAACAAAAAATTGCCGTTAATGTACAAGTGCTGGTAAGTTTGTCTCTAGTATCAATTTTTTAATTTAATTTTGTTCAATTGAATATCTCATTTTATTGTATTCCAAACTTATTTTTGGCTTATTTGTTTAAGATTTGTTTCCAACTATTTTTACAACGAATATGAAATATGCAAAATGAAGATTCTTTTATTTATTATTTTATATTTTTAATTAATGAAAATAAGTCGAAAAATTTATGTGTTTCAGAATACTGTGACAAAAGCTCATTTTAAACGAGCCAAGTATGAAAGAACAATTAATACTGAAAAGCTATTCAAAGGTTTTTCTTTTTCCTTTTGAAATCTCAGCTAAAGTAAGAATTTTGAATTGATAAATTATAAATTTAAAATGAAAGTATTAGATTGTTTCAGGTAATCCCATCTTGCAACCGGAACTTGAAAATGCACCACTTGATGCACTAAGGTTTATCCTTTTAAGAGATGATCCTGGTTGGCTATCTGTGGACGAATATACCGGAAATGTAATTGTTGGTGATGTACCACGGTAAATTTTCTGCACAATTATTTATAAATATTGATTGGTCATAAGATACAACTAAATAGCCAAACTTTGTTAGTGTAATTTTTATGGCATTGAGTGAAAAGAAAAAAAAAAATCACTAAATATCCATACTAATTCGAAAATTTCTGGAAATATAGGAAAAAATTAAACAACCTAATATTCCTAGTTTTGCAGAACCGGCATTGTTAGTGGGAAGTACAGCTCATCTATCGCAGCAGTGAATCGCACTGACGGTAGGCTTATCACCGAATCCGTTCTTGTTCTTACCGTAATTAGCGACAGTCATGTGAAGAAATTGTTTACCAAAAAACTTCTTGTCCACACATTACGTAAAGGTTAGTTCAATGAACTAATTAAATTAAATGGTTTGTTTTATTGAAATTTGACAAAAACTATCAGTTGAAATTTATTATTAAAACTTTGTAAAATGATATGAAACTTTTATAGTATATTGATTATTAAAATCAATAGAAGTAAAATATTGATTATTAAAATTTGCATCTGTTAGATCCAACAGCAACTCGTCAAACGGTACAAATACTTCCGGAATATAACAAAGCATCAATAGCAATTGTTCGAGATAGTATCAGTGCTGTAGATGAACAGCTTCGTCACATTCATATCGATAAGGTAGGTTTTCCTTTCTTACTTTGATTTCTGAAAAATATGCAATGATTCTGATGAATATAACACTGTGAATATAAAATTTTGCAAGCGATAAATTACAGAATGCAATATCAAATAGTCACGGTATGATAATAATGGATATGAAACGATTACTACAGATACGGATGTTACAGTTCAATTTATCATCAAAAGAAGATGCTAATGATTTTGGTATTTATAATAATCATGAAGAAAAACTAGAGATATTGTCATTTTTAACATAATTTAAATCATTTCTATTAAATTACTGTATTTTTTTTTATTTGAAAAATGTGCTAATGAGATGCTAAAATTTAAATGATTTTAATAGTAGCTATTAATTCACATCTATCATTTTAAAATAAATAGCCCTGTAGCAAAAAATGAAATTTGCCAAATTACAGCAAAGGTAATGTTGTTTCTCAGTTCGGAGCCAGTTGAGATGGAACACGAACGTAAACGACAAGCACAACCAAGATTTGGCTATCCATGGCGAAATGATATGAATATCATTCCAGTAGCTTATTATTATTTACTTCATTGTTTTTAATATATATATATATATAAGATGAGTTGAAAAATCAGATGAGTTGAAAAATCATTTAATAATTAATATCTGTTCGTTAGTGTTTTATGATTTATCTGTCAATCCTCTGTTTATTGGCAGATGTATTCATTTACTCACTTAGAATATTTCAATTATTGTCATAGCATTTATTTTACCTTTTCACTGATCATTTTTTTCTGTTGAAATTATATGAACAACATTTTCAGATTAAATTGGTTGAAAATTCACCAGAAGGTTACACGATTATTTCGTTACCAGCTCACAATCCTATGAATGGAGCTAAAATTATGGATTTAAGGCTTTCAGGAGAAATGACTCAACATTTCACTGTGGATGGAAGAAGCGGTTAGATTTTAAGTTCTCACAAAAACTAGGAAGAAAATTTAAGCTGCTTTTAGCTTTTAGAAATGCGAACGTAACAAGCTATGATTAGTTATGGATCATTATTTACAATAATAGCTTTTAATATATGATTTGTTTGAAGACACAATAAATTTGTCGACTTTAATTCACTTTTAAAATTATCAAATTATCGACATTTGCATCCTGTTTTGTGATCCATAATGAATTGCTTCAGGTGATGTGCATGTTATAAAACCTTTCGATTTTGAAGCGATGGAACCAGAATCACATATATTTGATTTATTACTAATCGCAGGTGAAGAACCATATGACACTGTGGCAATACTACGAATTGAAATTATTGATGTTGATGACAATCCACCAAAAATTACTAAATTTGGTGATTACAACTTTGAAAATGTTCGTTTTATTTATGAAATTCACCAAATCATTGTAATTGGTTAACTATTATCTTTGATCAATAGAGCTATAATGAATAGATGCTACCACTTAGTTTTAACCATTATTCAATCATATATTACAAGTACTAATTAACTGATCAATTAACGTATTTATCAGTTTTATTACTGTTAAATACGTTAATTGATCAGTTAATTGAACTATTATTGACAACTTTTAGTGAAATTTTAATAGCTTGGTAAATGCAAAGGTTCAGCTAACAGTTGGCAATCAGTTGAAAAGTAATTGTGTCAACTTTTAGCACTGAAAACAAAATTTGATGATGCATGAAAATTGTCGTACTTTATAATATCGCTTTGACCAAACACTTTTCAAACGTTATTATCATATGCTTGAAATTTTAGTTGACAATTTCGGAGAATTCATGGCCTGGTACAGTGCTTTTTGAAGTTCAAATATCGGATCCTGACTATTTATATGGTAAAACAGGTGTCTTTAATTATGCATTAAGTGGTAAAGGATCAGCTAATTTCCAGGTTAAAAAGGTAAGCATTTGATAAGCATATTAAAAAAAAATGTCTGAAAATCTAGTTTAAGATAATACTTTCGATGAACGGTTAAATTGTTTGCTTTCGTTTTAAGAAATTCATTATAGTCATTTTAAGTAATGGAATAAAAATTTTTTATTACTTCTTTGCAGGTAAATGATACAGTGGCAGTAATTGTTTCGCCTGCTGCTGATTTAGATCGAGAAAAAATTGAGGAAATGGTTATCTTACTGAAAGTTACTGATTCTGGTGGTAACAGTGACAGTGTAGTGGTACTTTTTAAAAGATTTGTAATGATGAAGTCATAACAATTTATTTCGCAACTAAACTTTATAATAATTCGAGAAAAATTCAAAAAATTATGCAACAAGGAATTGCTCCAATGATTTTACACAGACATAATATACTTTCTGAATTTAAAGAATATTTGCCATTTGTCAAATATTACTTTTGCCAATGATACAAACTAGAATCAATATATTTAGCTAAAGCAAACGCAGATCACTAGTATTTATCGGTTACTCTTTGATTTACGTTAATTATTTTAAGCCATCTACAAACAAATACTACAAACCTCAAATTTATTAAAATAGATATTACATTGCAGGCAATTATCACTATAATGGATGTAAACGATAATGCACCCATTTTTCTTCATAGCGAATATAAAGTTGAAGCAGTAGAAAATTGGCCTGAGGCTATGGTACTAACCTATGTGCATGCTGAAGACAAGGACAAAGGCCTTAATGCAGATATTCGTTATTCTCTTTCACCAAGAAATAATCAGTGTATGCTTTTTGCTCCTCTTCGATATCACTGACTGAAATTTTTCAAATTCACAGAATAACAATAGATTTTGTCACCTTTAAATTCATTTTTATCGGTCAGAAACTTGTATCTTAGAAAGTTTGCATTTTCACCAAGGAAAAAAAAAAAGATTTAAACCTATAGGAAATGATATTGAAAATTTATGTTTACTGCATTATAACATTTTCTTAGGGAATTTAATAATTTTGGAATCTTTAAATTCAGGTCCGAAATGCGAATTCATTATTATAAAAATTAGATTCTTGCACATTTTACTAAGAAACTAACGGAGTATGCAATAAAATTTTGTGAATTATTAATTTTGCAAAATCGAAGAAAACGTCCACAATAATTTTTCAAACAATTGTAGACTTTGAAATTGATTCAATAAGTGGATTAATACGTGCCAAGAAAGCATTGATCGGTTTAGCTCGAGCACATTCATACGATTTCTCAGTTGTAGCAAGTGATCAAGGTTGCTTAACTTCTTCCTAATTATATTTTTAACTATGCATTAAAAAATTTATCTGGAAGCAAAATATTTGAATGTTAAGTTTTCAAGCAACTTAAACTATTCGTTGATAAAATGAAATAAAATCCAGAATAAAGAATGAGCGAAATAAGCATATAAGATGTGAGAAAAGTTATTTACTTTTATGAAAGGAAAATATCTTATATCCTGACATTCATGCTTATATTTTCGTGATTAATTTTTTAAAGAAATTAACCACCATTTTTTATTGCAAATTGTAATTATATCATTTTCATCACAATAATTTCAAATACTTGCAGTCATATCTAAATATTCATGACTTAAAAAAAAGAAAAAAATGTGACATAATTTTATTTCAAATGAGATTTGGTAATTCAGTATTAAAAAGATTGTAGAATTTCAGCAAGTATTTTTTCTATACTGAAATTACTGAATTCAGGTATGCCACCGTTATCAACCACAGCAGCTGTTAGTATTCACGTACTCGAATCCACGTCATTAAGTCATGCTGGTGACAGTAAGGGTATACACATAGTGTCACCGTCCGTTCATTTCACTTTACAACTTGAGGAGGTCCAATTTTCATCTTCACTTTACAGTTATGATAAACTTATTTTGGATAACGAATCATATATTTTTAATGACAATAAATTAAGGGTAGGATGGACTTACTAAAATCGGTTAGTTTTTTCATTTTATTTAAAATATACGATGGTTAATTTCATCGTACTCAAAATTTTCAATTATTAAACCTTGATTATAAGTATTGTATTTCGTTTTTCTTTTTTTTTTTTTTTTTCAGAATATTCCAGCTAATGATCGTGTTTATGCAGTTCAAGCTAAAATTGGTGGTTTCAATGAGTTATTTGGTCGAGAAATTAAGTACTCAATAATGGTTGGTTACTGATTGGTAAAGTAAATTGACCTTAATGCTTTTTATCACAAGTTTAGCAAATATATTTACAGAAATAAATCTGTGAATAAATTTGGTCTTACGCTTAAATAAACGAGCAGTAACAAAACGAAATGTTTTTCTTCTTGATTTTTATTTCATTTCTTCTAGAAGTATTAAACTTTTAAAAAGATTGTTAAATTACAAAAATCCTTAAACCATATTTCAAAACTAGCAATATCAAAACCTAACTCTTAAATATCAATTTTTAATTGCTTATAATCAAATAATAACCTACATTTATTTAGCATCAAATTAGCCAATCTGCATAAATTATTTGATTTCAGCCAGTGGATAATGTGACAGATGGCGGATGGTTTACAATTGATACAATTAGCGGCGACCTGTTTACTTTACAAGAATTGGACCACGAACTTCAACCTGCGATAACTGTTAGTTTATTTTAATTTGGATAGGATTCTAATGCCCAATATTTCATTAGCTAGCAACAAATTAAATTGTGAAAACAAGCCACTCATTTTACACTGTCCATTGAAATGTACATTGAAATTCACTGGCTAAAAAAAAAATCAGTAAAAAAAATTTTTTGAACCGATGGAAACAGGTTTTTAAAAATGTTTGTAATATAAAGACAATTATTTAGCTTAGTTTACAAATCATAATTTTGCAAGTTTTTATTTCAATTTCACTTTTGCATTTGCAAATCAATAATTATTCCTTTCCCCAAGTTGAGTCGTTTTATCTTCCATATTTATAATTGAATCAAATTCCAGAATCATATAATAAACTAAAAATTTGTTATGATCTTATATATGAATTAGAAAGACTACCTCATCTTGAACAATATTTTTCAAAAATCTTCAAATATGTTTGCATAATCGAATACTCTTTCAACATCAAAAAAGTAAATAATAACTTGATGAGCAATCATATAATTTAAAATAAGAAGCAACAATATGTTTACACAAATTTCAATTACATTCTTCATTGTACGCACTGCTTCATTCTGATTTCTATAAATGTATTTTGAAGAATTTTTGACCAATAATTTTTAAATCCATCAATCACTTTTTTTGAATAGAAATAATACAGTTTTTGAATTTCAGTGACAAATTTTACTACTAATATATTACCACAGCAAATTTTTAACATTATGAAACCTTAAAAGCATACATTTAGCCTAAAAATTTCAAATCAGATAATAATTCAATAGTTGAAATTTTGTATATTTTAAGAGATAACTGTAATATTTTCTATGACATTCCAATGCACTGCTATTAAACGAATCATTTCTTTCCATTTCAAAAAAAAAATTCCATATTCTAATGATAGATTGCTAACATAATTTGCTAAAAAATTTCTATATTATTTTGAAGAATGATCTAATCATCTAATTACTATTTTACTGAGAGAGACAATTATTTTTAGTAACATTATGATACAGTGTATTATTTTTCAACATTTATACTGTAACAACACAAATATTATCATTATCGGTTTTGTGAATACTGCCTATATATATTATCATTTTCTGATGTAACCAAATATATGTTGCATTGTAAACATTATTATTATTCAATTTCTAGAGTTTATAAATCTTTCATTCGTAATTCTGTAAGCTTGGAATACTTCTTTCTTTTTTTTTTTTTTTTTTTTGTTAAAGGTAAAAAATTTGCGAGGAAATGAAGAATAAGTTTGAAAATTTCTGTTGATGCGCTCGTTAGAAATTCGGAAAAGCTTTATATTCTAGATGTTTAGGGATGGTCAAAACAGATAAGCATAAGACGAATGAATTGGCAGACTAAAAAACATTCCACATTAAACTTTAATATTATTTTATGCTCACTACGTTCTTTTCTGGCATATTTTCAATTTACTAAATGAAATCTTTCCTTTTCAATTTATTCACATAAATGAATGTGTGCTAATTTTTGTCACAACATTTTAGCTATTTCAGCATTCTGTCCTTAAGTGTTAATTTATTGTACAACAATATGTTAACAAAAATTTTTGGTCAAATTTTAGACTTAATTTATTGAGAATTCTTGTTTCGTCCTTTTTTTTTTTTCTTTTGCCTTCAAGTAATTGCATATAACAAAAGACATTTCATGCTGAAATTAAGCGAATAAATTGAGCAAAATTCGAATTTTCAAGTATTATATTTGATCACTAAGTGATGGTGCTACCTAGCACGAATCACATTTCAATTTTTTTTTTTTTTTTTTTTTTCTATTTTGAAAGAAGGGAAAGAGGTTTGGTAAAGTCGGACAGCCGTCCTGTATAATATGATTTGACGAAATGTGGCGTAGAACAAAATTTGAAAATGGCATGCCTTTTTTTTGTGAGGTGTGAACCATTGTTATAAACTGAAAATTTCCGGTTATTTACACTGATGAGCAGATGGTCGAATAATTGAATTGCATAATGGCTTCGTTCCATATGCATCAAACCTTCACTTCTTCAAAGATTTAATATTTTATGAGGAAATTTCATTTCTCATCATTGCAAAATTTTGCATGAATTTTGCAGTGATGAAAAATACTGAAATAAGTATGTGATTTTGTATATAAAGTATACGTATTTGTGTGCCATAAGCGCTTTTCCTTGATAATATTTTAGGTCCAATTTCTGAAATTACAGTAAGCAGAAGAGTTACTTGACATAAGCACAAACGTCTTTTTGTCACTCATTCCGTCAAATCATTAAGTAAATGGACTATTTGCTAATAATGGTAAAATTTCATATTCAAAGTCTGCTTAAAATTGGAGTAATCATGTTTGAAAATTTCATTTTGTAGATGCAAAAGAAATAAATATAAGTCCGAGTGGACGTTATTTTTTTTTATTTTCATTCAATTGATATAAATATTGTTTTCTTTAATGTTGCCGACTTTTTTTTTTTTTTTTGAAAAGCAACTAGATGACATTTTCAAGACTGGTTTTCTCATTTCCTTATTTTCCTGCTATTATTAGAACAAATAATACCATATTTTACGATGTCCCAGGCAATTATTTTTGTTTTTGTAAATTACTTGTTAAGATTTTGCTGAAAATTTGAAAATTTGACTGTTTTAGATATCCGATATTTGATTTTACAAATTTTCAGTTTGTGAGAATATAGGCAAAGATAATGTGAAGTAATGAATGTCAGGAAATTCAATTTAAGTAAAATCCTGACGACATAATTATCTCAAAACTGAAAACAAATAGCAAAATACTAGGAATCCATTCATCAGCAGTGATCACTGATTCGAAACGGATCAATCATTTCTATCAAACATAATAACCACCTCAATCGAAGCATCGATTTAGATATCATTAGCATAGGTAATTAGAGAGAAAGTTAAATATAGAGTAAACTGATAAATTCCCCTATTTCGACTTTGGTAAAGATCAAAACATCTATATATGAAAGTGTCGAAAATACTTTTTTTTTGTAAATTCTTTTTAATAGTAAAGTGAATCTGAAAGTTTTCTTATTTGCTTAATTCATCCAGCAAACATCTGCTTTTTCTTTCAAATGTGATGATATTTGGATAGAAGATTTAAATTTGATTAGAACGTTACTGGATATCAAAGGAATGCCGCATTAAACTTTTGAAATTTTCTATTTTTTCTCAACTGAAATTTTTTTGATAAATTTTGGCAATTTTACTACTCTGTTGAAAAAAAGCTTTACTTTCGATCTTTTTAATTTGTTTGGAAATTCATGGTTTATGATACTGATTAGAATCATTTCTCAATTCGTGTCACATATCTATTGTTTCAAGATTGCTAATTAAAAAACAAATAACCATCATTCAATATTCTTTTCAAGATTTCCTGCAATGATATCCGATGATAGCAATGTCAATAAAAATTTGCATTAATGTATGCTGTTTTAAGTTATATAAAAAAATGCAAATGAAATTATGACTTTCATCAAAACATATTCATTATTTGTCACTTATTTGTACTGAAATCTGACTGTAATTATTTATTTTCTCGGGCTTTTTTTTTTTAGAAAGCAATGTTTTTCTCTATTATAACAGAATTTTTTAATACTTTTCTTTTTTTCTTTTTTGTCAAATGAGAACTCGAAGAAAGATAAGAGCAATTCGAATAATCAACTTGAAATTTATCATTAGTTACTTCCTCGTAGAATTTCCCTTCACTCTTGGTTTTGAGCTATTTATGATCATTATTAATGATAACAGAATTCTGCAATTCGATTGATTGCCATTTCGAAAGTAATTGTAAAAAGATAGTACGTGAAAAGATAGTAAGTATTTGGCGTATTGTAATTTTTGGAAGAGAAATTTTTTCTATTTTTAAGAAATGAACCATTCGTAATCTTTTTTAGGAAATTTTTCACTAATTTTTTCTGTTTTGTCCGATGAAAAAAGCGATTTATTAGTCATCTCTGAAAGAAAAATTTTTGTAACCTTTTTTTTTCATAGCAGATATTTTTCCATTTTAAATTTCTACTGCTTTTTCTATTTGCCTGAAAAATAATTGTTGTCGCCTACCAAAAGTGTGAAGTAAGAGAGAATGACGAAAAAGAAAGGAAATATAATTGTTATTCTTCCATTGTTTGATTTTAAAAATTTTCAAATACAAGGTTAAAAATTATTACATTTATCACAGTATTCCATTTCTGATGAGATTTCTCTTCACATGAAAAATTAATTATTTTCGTTTATGATTTGAAAATAACCGAAATTTCGAGCGATCATCTCATTCTTCTCCTCCTCCTCCTCCTCAACTCGTTGCAACTATCATTGCCACCGGGATATGATATACTTGCACCTGCTGTTTATGGGTCATAAAAGAAAAAAATTTAACAAAAATGTTGAAAGACTGTTTATATATTAGTTTTTTTTTTTTTTTTTTTCTTCCAGTCCTCTGATTCTCACTTCCATGAATATATTCTACTTGTAAGATTCATTCAAGAATTGTTTTGTTTACAATTTTATTTTCCTTCCTCTTTTTTTTTCTGATTTGCAAAGGATAAGAGAAGTCAATCTTTTGTATGGAATCTTCTCTGTCGTACAATACATTCTCAATTTTTGAAAAATCCTTCAATTCAACATTTGAAGTCCTTCTCCTCCCTTACTACCGCTTCTTCATACTTCCGCCTTGTATCAAAAATAAACAAGAAACGACAGTACATCGTCTCCAAATTATAACGAACAACGAAATAAATTGCATTTGTTGTAAATATCTGTTGACATAACCCCTCCATCCATCCAACCATCCCATTTCCATCTTTCAGGACTTTTTAACTTCTTTCTTTGCCATTCCTTTCTTCCTTTCCTTCTTCCTCAAATATTAGTTCAAAAAGAGCTTTTCGAATGCCGCAATTTCATTCTGTCATCAGTTTGAACACTGTGTTTGATATTATTATTTGTTAATTTTCCCATTTCCGTTTCGTAATAAATGGCTTTAGCTTCATGTAATTTTAACAT